AGGCCTTTTCTCGAGATTTTATGAGGTAGCTTTTCAAGGCGATTGCAGGGGGCACTAAGATCTTGTCGGCTTTAAAATGGGCAGGCGCTAACACACGTTGACGATATCACATTAGACATAAACATTAGTATAAATATTCATTTCTTGCCAGTATTCCTAGTGGTTAAATTCATTTATTAAGCCAAGTTGATATCTGATAGCACAATATTTTTGAATTTTTTTCAATCGCATCTACTCGAACAATTTTTTTCAAGCATGTTTATTTTTTTTATTAACGATGAAATTTAAATAAAACGATTGTATTTATTTTGTAAATATCATCCAAAAGTGTGAAAGCAGCAGTATCCAAATATTGATTAAGTTCCTAGCGTTCGTTACGCGCTCTTTTGCTGATGAGCGAAAAAGAGCTTCCGCGAGGGACGAGATTCTGAGATGAATTTCTAAATTCCTTTTGACCCAAATGTGATGTTAACTTGGCTGGTTATATGGATGAAAGGTAGATAAATTAAAAAAAGAAACAAACTGCTAACAGATTTTTTCCAAATTATAAAGCTTTTATATCCTATGTAATGAAAAAAATTCCAAAAATTGAAATTCGCTGACATCAGTGGAGAGATTGAAAAATCGCTTGAGATTACCACTTAACGGGCGTCAAAGGTGAGTTTAGTTGAAACAAAGAAGCTAGACAGATGAATTTTTAATTTACCTGTGTGATGGGAAATGCCCTTCTGCTCTGTAGTAGCCCAATTGATGGAAACATGGAACTCTCCAAAAGCGAGGAATAAAGTAGTCCATCTTTTGTTACATTGGCGAAGATTACGCCTTGGGAGTCAGAAGTGATGTTTGAAATCTTGGGAAACAAACCACTCAAACCATATTCGAGGGGAAAGACATCGGTTAAATTAGGCCTTGAAAAATGCATCTCCAACAAGAACTCATTAGGAGTCACATTACCAGTTACAACTTTTCTTGATCGGAACATTTGTTCGGCCGACTTGAAGACATATTCCTGGAAGATGTCATCCATGTCAAAGAACACCGCAATGTTGACATCCAGCTTTTCTACAGCAGTACCGAAACGAGTGAGAAAATTCAGGGTGTTAAATAACATTAGTTGCCTCAGAAAAATCCTTCCAGCCATATTCTTGATTGAAAGGAAGACCGGTGTTATTTGGTACTAACTACGACAAACATTCGAGTCCATATTGTGCCATTGGCTTAAGCCAATTTTCAGCGGATGATGCCTATTTCCAATGCATATGTTATTTTCGTTCTTTTCACGTGAGTCGTCTTACCCCAGGTGTTTAGCAAGATCCGGCAACTCACATGCGGCCTGCGAAGCATAACAAAAAATATCACAAGAAACTTTTCCAGCATCTAATAACATCAGCATTAGGATAGTGTGTGATTGGATGACATCACACATTATTTTACATTACTAAACACACATTCGGAAAGTCAAATGACAGGTTGTAATTATGTAAAAAACAGAGGACCTGTTATAGCCATAACACCTTATCTTTATTTTCCTAAACTGCTAAGTCGAGAGACGAAATCCCTGGTTTGGCAGAACTGCAGCGGATTTTAGACAATTAAGCTTTCAGGAAAGTTTTGCCTTCTGTCATCAAACCGCATAAGTAAATCGCTGTCATTTCCGCTGAAGTGCGATATAATGTCAGCAAAATTTATTAATGTGCTGATTTGATTGGTTGATATATATGAAAAGCAATAATGCACGGAATTATCGCAAGAACAACAGCTGTACCTGTTTGAAGCGGAGTAAAACCAAATTTCAAATTTTAACGACTAGGATACAAAATCAACTTACGCCTGTGAATCTGTGATTAAACAAAAATTTCTACGAATTGCGAGAGCTTAAATCTACATTATTAATCTCCATGCTGTTCTGTAAGCAATAAAAATTCAAGATCTCCAATGAAGACAATTTTCAATATAGCCAAGTTTTTTCCGGTTGCTTTTAAAAATTCATGACATTTTAAATTTCTCATTTGTCAGACATGCGTTCTTGGCAGGTGACCATTCAAAGACAGAATTTCTTTGCAAACTCAGAAATAGCTGCCTTTCAAACAACTTTTTTTAGCATATTTGATCAGCGCTTAAACCTGATATCCTGTCTCTTTTCGACTCAGCAATTGAAGTTTTTTCAGCAGCATGTCATTAACACCTCTGTTTGCAATAAACTAACTTTAAATTCATTTCTTCCTTCGGAATCATACTGCGATCGATAACTTTGTCATTTACGGCCGAAAAAAAAGAAACTGTGAAAAAAAAAATGATGAACATCCGCTGGGTTTCACCTCAAAACTGCTCGGTAGCCGCTGCGTTTTAAACTTTAATTAAGTCATACAGGTTAGTCTTTCAAAGGATTTTTAACTGCAAATTTTCCAATTGCGCATGGGCCTTTTCGAGTGAGGCAACTTATTTTGTTGTGCGAGTCTTAAAATAGGATCAGTTGGGATTGCGCTGAATCAAACTGTGATTCAGTATTTTAGGTACATCTGAACCATGGTTCAAATTTTCACTTGCGAACTAAGATTATTCCATACTCATTCCTTGGAAAATGACATGCAGCTTTAGTTCATGGTTATATTTTAAGAGGGCTTCTTTCGCTTTCTTTGACAAACATCTTAACCAAACTTACAATGTCAGGAATTGAGAAATTAAGGAAACTGAGATAGATGACTTTTAAGTAAAAGGGAGTGAGACAGTATACAGACGTTCCGTGAATATATGGTCTTGTCTGGCAGACTTTTCACCTTTTTCAAGGAAGATCGCCAAACTACGGCTGATCTTTACGGCCAAACGTGTTTAGCCTTCTGAAGAGTTCTGACCGAATTGAAACGCAAATTAACGGCTGAATTGTATCCAATTCCTTTGACACGGGAACTGAAATCCGGTAGAGGGCTCCATTGCCTCTAAATTGTATGCAAGAAGCATACATTTATATCATCCACTCTCGCTGATCATCGCAGTTATGATTGTGTGCATTTTATCTCCAATTTCATTAGCCAGAAGCCCACCGCCTGCAAATAGAAACGCAGCAGTCTAGCGTCGGGCACGCGCAAGGGGAACAGTTTTGGCCGGCCGCACGCCATTTTCCTGCCCAAGAGAAAACTTAAGAAAATAAAGAGGCTAATAGAAATCAGCAACTGAAGAGGAAATTAAAATTGGGAAAATGTAAGCGCGAGACTTCTCGAAAACGATGCTTTTTCAATTACTGGTACCCTGTTGATTTACCAATCTGTTTTGATCTTTATAATAGCGGAAGACGGTTTTAAATCAACGTGATTTACTGGTGTATGTGGTTGTTTATATCTCCCGTAGGACACCGATCTTTGTTTTGACAACCTTCACAACGCTTTGACCTGCGCAGACCTTCGACCCAGCGCTGTATTGCAGATATACCTTTGCTCATGCGTAGTCCCGATGTTTTTCTTTACCTCGGCCGTTTTGGTGATATTGCTATTGCAAAACTGAATTGTGAACCGTAAACGCGCTGAAAGAAGCAACCTCCAGTACGTGGGATTCTTCAAAACGTTAATTTCATTCTTACGAGTGATATTTATGGTAACTTCTCCTTGAAATTTCAGTTCAATATCGAGCACGTAGCTTTTGAGAATATAGAAAACTGAAGACAATGGAAGCATCATCGTCAGTTCATTGAAGTAGGTCAGAATCTTTGGAAAAAGGGTTAACCGTACGCCAAAGGCAGTTGCCATCCTTTCGCTCACTGTAATTCAGTTTGGTTATTTTTACCATAAGCCAACCAACCCCTTCTTTCACTGATTAAAAAAGCTTGTCAAACCAAGGTGAGTGGCAGTAACTCTGCAGAAATTTACAAAATCATTTTTAAAAGATGAAATTAAAATTTCATGGCGCAAGCTGAACTGGATTGACAATTGGACATTAAATGGAGCTGTTTGTATTTGATTTCATTGTTTAACCAGCTTTGTATGTATCAATTGCTGTTCAATAGTTTCTATTTCTTATGATTACTATAGAGTTGTCTGCTAGTCCCTGTCAGTTTTTCACCTTTTCAAAGCAATCGACCGACAGGTCTATTGCAGAGAGCAACTAAAAGGAACAAAAAAAACCCTGGTGGTGAGCAACCTGGGTACGATACATCCAAGAATCAGTTAAAGCATTATCCAATGTAAGACGCTTATTTTCTGTTCAGCGAGGTGTCTCTAAGTAACTGTTACCACTGGATAGATTGAAGGCCCACTCACCCACTACTCAGAGCCATCTATCTTCATGTTTAAGCACAGAACATTTTCCTTTGGTGAGCAGCCAGTACGGACTGAGAGGCACTATGGTAATGGATATTATTCCGTCACACTAGAGTAAGAGCAATTTATGCCATGCCATATTAATACACGGTTTGCGTTTTTTTTTATTGAGCTTAAAATTTTGGATACCTTTTAAGTACAATGAAGCCTCAAATCTCAAACATCCATTCATGGCACACGTGCCTTCAGAGAAACGGAACAACTAAAAGGAAATATAGCCTGTTTTAACGATTTACAAATACCTGGATACACTTGGACTAATATAAACTCTTTTCGGTCTTTGTTTGTTCTTCAGACGCAAAGGTTATGTTACAATTCCTAAGATGCTTATTGTCATAGGAAAAATTACATCACGCCAATTAACTGTCGGATACTTGCGAAAAAAACCGTTTACTGACAAACTCTCTACTATTCTTCGGGACGGTGGCCGAGTGGTATGAGCGTTGAATTTGCTACCTGATGGTCTCGGGATCAAGTCATCCATCCCGCTACGGACTGGATTCGTTCCCGGATGGGCCATCTTCAACTGTTTGTGCTCCTCATGTTAAACTTCTTGTACCCTTTAAAACGCAAGCGACTGAGTAGCTCTCAGTAAGTGGAGATCTTTGACAACGTTTTGTCCACTTAGAATGTTCGTTTGATTCCCTTTTTTCATTCATTGGCTCTGAATAAATAAGCCCCTATATAGACAAGTCTTTGTATAATCCTGGAACGAACGGGCCCATTTGCTCTTCTGCGTCCTGCGTGCCGTCTTCTTCTGCCTTTGCAGGTCTTCCAAGTCTGATCAATTTTCCAAATGTTCCTTGGCCCCCTGGTGTTGCTCCATCGCAACCAAGTACCCGCTTTCGTGCACTTGTCCTTAGATTGTATGGAGACAAATGCCCCGATTGCGGGGTGTCTTCAACGGGCGACTGTGGATCAGAACTTTGCTGATTCAACGCTACGAAGTCAGTCCCCTCTGGCAATTGATCAGCGTCTTCGTGGGCTGGGTTGAGATACTGCAAAATAAGGAAGACATTAATGAGATTTTAAATAAAGTACCTCCAAAGCAGTTTTCCATCCGAAAAATCAGCCAAAGAGTTTCAAATTTGCCCCATTTTAGTAATTAGTTTTCGTCTCGTCCATCCTAAACAATATTCGTTCTTTTATGGTTCAATCTTCTCATTTTCGTTTTTTTACTATCTTCGTAAGCTAAAATTTTCAGTGTTTGTGATTTTTCCTCACGTTGAAGGCACGTTTACATGTCACCAAACAACCAATCACAATTTCTTTAGGTTAGGCCTTTAGGTTCACCTCTGTGAGGTGACGAGCTCATCGCGAGTGTCTCTTGTTTCACAAATTGTCACCCTCGTACAACTGAGGTGAAACTAATCAACGCCTAACATAGAGGACGGCTTCTCTTATCAATCGTGCTGTTAGTGATTGTCAAACCTTCCGCTTGCCGTAAAAAGAAGAAAACAAAAATATATATATATATATATATACAAATCGTGTTAGGGATGGTCCAGTAGCGGTAGTTTATAAGAAGAGAGATAACAATTCACTGATTAAAAGTACTCGTCATTATTTTACATATGATAAAATTGCGGGATAAGAAATTTGGACTTCTTAAATATGTCAACGAGACACCACTCACCCACCCCTCTTGTTGCAACATTTGCTACATTCAAAGCACCGTAAGCTTACTTTTTTAGTAGCACTTCTGAAGCTGACCGAAAAGGATTACTATGGAAGGGAAGGAACATGGCTGGCAAATGACCGCTTACCTCTTGAAGTATCCTACTTGTTTCTTCTGTTAGAGCATCATGGGAAAATCTGCAGCGGCTGCCTTCCCGGCAGGATTTTATTGTGTGAAAAAATTTACATGGAAATGAACGTAAGGCAGGTTAAGGAATCCACACGAAGAAAAATAAAAAAACACAAACGGCTAAAACGATATAAAACAACATCAACAAGTTTGACGAAACTGTTACTCCTCAGCATAAATTTTAAGTTTTCTCACTTTTCCTACGTGTAAAGAGTACAAAATGAAGCACTGTTTTGTACAACTTTAACCTTTTAACACCAGAAAACTGAGAAAATTTCAATGCTCTATTGCCAGAACTGAACGCAGTCACCTTTCGTTTCTTAAATTCGCGTTCGTCTTTTTCTTCCTTCCTTTCTTCAGTACCCATTTCGCGTTAGATATAAATTCTAACTATAACATTCTCTTGAATTTCAAAGGAAGGAGGTAGTAACTTTTGAAAAGGATATTGTGCATAAAAGCACAGTCATCTCCCAACTGGCAATTGTCAGCGGAAAGCACGTAGAACCTACAGATCGCCTTCTTCTTCACCAGAGCTGATCTGTCATGACGGAAAGAGCACTCACTGCCCTTTAGGGTAAAAAAAATAAAACAAAACGGAACATGAGATTGTCTTATTGTTCAACACCTATGCATTATGCAAATCGCATTGTACGACAATGCGCTTTGTGGATATCAGACTGCTCAGCCTCCTGCTAATCGGGATTTTTAAACACTTTTTTCATTCGCTTTGGCCCTGAAAAGCCCCATTGGGGGAATAGTCTATTAAGTATGCATAAATAGACACACAGTACATATAAAGTATCGTCATTCTTTCGAATTCTTGTTCTCAAACGAGGGCAGTGTTCACGCTTTTTCGAAGTCAGAAAATTCTACGACTTTTCAGTTTTCACGGGGCTGTAATAGCCCTGGATGAACACCAACCTGACTAAACAATTTTTTCGCAACGCAAGGTAGAAAAAACGATCAACCCATTTGGTCAATGCAACCTTTTAAGATAGGAATGTATCGTAACAATTTTAATCCGTTATGATTTGAGCGTTTTTTTCCCCCAAATTTTATTTTGTGGACAAAGTAATCAGTATTTCATCGAATTTCTCAAAAGCGGGGCCATGAACGTTTACAATCTTAATAAGATACATGAAAAAATTACTCAGTTCTGATTGGTTAAGATAAATGCAGTTTTCAGGTAATTCAATGCAGAAGAGAGTTAATTGAGTGCAAAGAAGTAACAAACCAGACTGAACAATTCCTTAAACTGTTTAGCCGGACTTTGATTTTTTTTGCACCCTAAAGATGTAAAAATACCATTGTATATTATTGTTTTGACCGTACGCAGTTGTTTTGACCGAACACACAATGTCACTTGCAGGGTTTGAATAAATTATTTTTGCACTTAATGCGTGCGCTTTGCTACTGCATAGTTATGATAAGCTATCTCGTATTTTTTCATGTAGATTATTAATAAATTATTATTAGTCTAAAATCTTATTTAACGGTCAATTCCTTAATTCTCATTCAGAGGTTAACCCTGTGACCGCTGATAGTGACTGGCATCTAATTTCTCATCAAAATATCACTCCTGAATCAAACATCAAGGTTAGGAGAATGAAGGAAATGATCAGCAACTAAAGAACCTATTGCTTGTTAAAAACATTCTCCTTGTCAGCACCTTGGGACATGTATACGGAACAGTATGGAGAATTTACATACTGATGTTAGGATTTAAAGGGTGAGAACATATGGTATGAGAACACTAGCTATTGTTGTGCACCTCTCACTGTACCTTCCTACATTTTCCTTGAATGTAAAATGAGCAGATTGGTCTGAGGAGCTCTTTATAAACTGGTTTTGTTCGAGGTGGCGGTTCTCCACTCCATTTTCTCTCCAAAGCTTCCGCTGTTCTTTTTGCTTTCTTCAACTTCTTTGCGTGTTGTCCACCTCGAGTCTTACGTTTCAACAGCTGTCAAATAGTTGGATCGATATATCCATTAGCAATCAGTACAGTCAATAAATAACTTAATCACTGTGTAGATGAATAGGTAAATTTATAAGTGAAAGAGTAAATCAATTATAAACAACCACAAAAGCCAGTAAGTCACGTTATTTCAAAAGCGTATATTTTTACATAAAACCTACAGCAAATTGGAAAATTAACAGTATACCATGATAAAATAAACTTTGCATTCGACAAGTCTCAAGTTTTCTCTTTTTGGTACGTTACCTTATTTTACAAAACTCTATGAACGTTTCGGTTTTTTTTTTTATTATTTTCATATTTCTTAAGTTTTCTTTGGGCGAGAAATTGGCGCGCGGCCAGCCGAGATTCATCTCCCCGCGCATACTCGATGTTTGACTACCGTGTTGTGCTGACCAGCTTTAGGGGATCTTTAATCTTTAATCTTTAATCTTTAATCACAGTTCGTAACCATACATCGAACAAAAGTACAAAAATGGTTGACAGGACGGTAGTAGGGGGAAACTAAATTCCCATGCTAAGACAAGGATAAGGATACAAACCTTTTCACTGGCTGCCACTGTAAGATCCACAGAATAAGAAGACACCATCGATAACAGTGATCCAGGTTCCGCTGATTTTTCCCGGGGTGGATTGTTCACTGGTAATGTCTTGATCTCAGAATGTTTCTCTGGAGTATCCGTCGATTTATGTCCTGAGACTGGCCCACATTTCTTTTTCTCTAAAAGTCTCTATAAAAGTAAACACATTCAACAAAATTCACGCAGGGACTTGACCAGGGAAAATAAGAGGGGATCCTGGGAACAAGCTTGGAGACAAAAGATTTATGTGCTTCAAGGTTTCTTTGCTATTGGTAAGTAATAAGAGACATTTCATCTTTTCTGCCACAGTGGTTGCTTTTTCTGACCGCTACTGAATAATTCTAACAGTGCTCTATTCCAAACAAAAAGAGTGTTTTCTTTTGATACAAACCTGGTTTTGTCTCTTAGCCCTCTTCTTTTTGCGAAACTTCTTTTTTCGATTCCTCGCTGTTCGTTTATTATCCTTCTGCCTGCCCCTTGAGTATTTCACCCTTTGTCCAATCGTAGTATCTTGATGAAATGATATTCCGCCAGTATCTCCTTCATTGTCAGAGTCAAGATCCATATCCTCAGCTTCATAATCACTTTTCACCTTACTCTCTTCTCCATCGGATTCATTCTCATCAATAAGAAAGTTATCATATTCTTCTTCATCCTCGTCTGATGTTGACTCCACCATCACAAGCTCAGCGTACTCGTCCCCGCCGTCATCTGCTACACTGTCTCCTTTATCAACAGACTTAGTATTATCATTGCCGTCGTCATCATCATCTTTATCGTAGTCGTCATCGCCGTTTTCTTGGTCGTCGTTATCATTAGCATTATGATCACTATTGATACTGTCACTAGAGCCAGTGCAATCTTTCTTAACATCAGCACTCTCGTTGAAAACACCTGTGTCATGGTTACCTGCATCAGAATTCTCTATACAACACTCCTCAGCGTTTCTATCTATACCCTTAGCACAGCTCTCCCAGGTTCTTCCCGTAACCTCCTTGTCCCCATGAATGATTTCTGTAAGTTGGCTTTTCTCGTCACTGGAAAGTTGATTTTGATGGGAATTTTCATTCTGTTTGATCTTCTCACTGTGCTCTTCATCTGACATATTAAGCTTTTCAGAGCTTTGTTTTGCCATGGAACTTCCTGTAGCTTTTGGCAGATCACTTGACAGCTCCTCTTGTTTTTTAGTGCTAGAGCTTTGAGAACTTTTAAGCTGAGCTAGAATAGAACCAGGCCTTAACGGCTCAAGAACTCTCGTTGTACTCCCATCAGTGTTTTTGCTGATGTGCTTCTCTTTCAGGTCTCTAACTAAGTCTATGTCCAATGTCTGATAATCACTGAAATACTCACCCTGATTTTCACTCAAATTGGTGTCTTCAGAGCTGAGTGCTTCGGATTCCTCTAATGGAATATTCCCTTTAAATTCATCGTTCGACTTTGCCTTGATTGACTCCTGCATGGGTCCAGTGGGTGTTTCCTCAGACCTCTTATCCACAATCTCCTTAGGATTTGTGCTGTCTTTTTCCAGTAAGGCCATAGTGTTAAAGAATCTATTTTCACCAAAATCAGAGTTTTCATCCGTGTTATTCTTATCGTCTTGCGGTATATTATTGTCAGTGAAACTTACAAGAACCTGTGTTTCTTGACATTTCTTGGGTACAATTTCAGAGCCTGACACTTCTCTTTGATGAGAGGAAACTTCCCCAGGTATGTCCTTCGATCCATGTGTAGGTGTCACCAAGTCATGCTTGCCTGTGGCCAGCTGATTGTTACTTGGATCATCTTTACAGGACTGATCAATCTTATTCTGGGTTCTCTCTAGCAGACATGCTTCAACGACAGATTTTCCACCCTCGCTCTGTTCTGAAAGTACTCCCGATTCAACGTTGTTTTCATCATTCGCAGTAAACCCTTGGGGAGGTCTCTTTCTGATCTGAGGGGCTGGTATTGTAACTAGAGTTCCTCCCTTCATCACTTTTTTGACCCTAGGTTTTGGTTTAAGTAGAGGAGGCACCACAATGTCCCGAACACTTGCCTGATTTTGTGAAGCAGTAGTATCAATACTCACATCTATACTTTTTGCTCCACTGGCTCCACGTTTAACATTTGAGTCACATCCTTTAATTTCTTTGATTCCATCTTCTTTCTTCTCTGTGTTTTCGCTGTTGATGTCCCGTGTTAGCGAATCAAAAGAAATGATTTTCCTTCGATGAACAGCTCCTTGGAGAGAGGCACTTTCTTCCAATACCACACTTTGACCAACGCCTCCCTTGTTTGCTACTATCTTTGCTCGATTCACTTGCTGCAAAAATTCAGGAATCATCAAATAATTTGTTCGCAGAAACTCGTCTACAGTTGGTCTAGCGGTAGCTGAATACAAAGGTGACATGCAGTGACAGTTACTCGAAGAATTTGAACTAGAAGGAACAGGTTGGGGCCATGGCTCTTCACTCAGAGGAGGTGGAGATGGAGCTTTGGAGAAAAGATCTTTTAGCGACATTTTACGGATTGAAAATCTCTAATATCGTGGAATATTTAGGTGCAAAAAAACGTACGATTGTCGTTCATTTCGTCCACCATCTTTGATTTTAACGCTGACCAGTAACGAACGAGTACTCGCACACGTGCTTGATTGTTAGTTTCTTGACCAGTTCCTCTTCTAAAGTGGATCAATAACAAACTTTACTGGTTTTTCTTCAAACTTAAACTACAGATTAAAATGAGTGGCGGAGTTTACGGAGGAGGTAATGTTTGTAATATTTTGGACTAATTCTTGCATATTTCAATTTTTCTGGTCTGAGAAAAACTCTTTCGTTTTCAGACGAAGTTGGCGCGATTGTGTTCGACATTGGCGCCCATTCAGTTCGGGCCGGTTATGCTGGTGAAGATTGTCCCAAGGTAACATAATTTTTGAGTTATAGTCAGAATTCTAGGGACTATTTTCCCTGGTTTGCCGAGAATATGCAGCAATTAATTTCATATTATAAGCTATCCATGGAGTAACTTAGCTTTGTAGATGTGTGATCGCAAGTTTGTGCTTGATTAATGTTCATTAATAAGGTTACAATTCCAGATATGATCGTCATGTTTCTTCTCTTTACAACGATCACATATATAAAGGAGTAATCAGGTGATGAGAATAACCAAACCTATCAACCAGAGTGTTATCTTGATGCAACATCAAATTCTCTCAACCGACACACAAAGGAAAGTGTTAATTATATAAGAGAGAATTGACAATTAGATCTTGGGATTTGAATCATAGATTGTGTTGTATCTACCGTTTGATTTGATACTTTACTTAATTGGCTCTTTGTCTTCTCAACAGTTTGATTACTGTACTTCCTGGAATAAGCGCTCTCCCCCATATAAGTGCCCATCCCTCAGGTCACAACATCAAACACGCACCTCCTCAAATAAGTGCTCTTCCTCCCTCACCTCACCTAGTAGGGATACAAGGAAATTCTCTTTCTTTGAGACCCAGGGGCCATCAGGCAATTTCTAGTCATCAACTGACAGCCCTGAGTCTCTGAGAATGGGAAACCCATTTCTATTGCCACTTTATTTATAACTTTTTAAGCCTCAACTGGAGCAGAATCAGTTCAGGGTAGTAATTTCTTAGCAAGTGTCCCTCCTTCCCACTAATTAAGTGCCCTCTTTCCGGTAAATGCCCCCTCCTTTCAGCCAAAATTTTAAATAAGTGCCTAGGTGCTTGTTCAAGGAAACACTGTATTAAAGAAATAAAAAATGTGCTCAATGCATTGTTGAGTTATTTAAGCATGTGGGATTTTTTAAGAACAAAAGAGAAGTGTGGAGAAGCATGAGCCTAAGGTGAGTGCTTCTTGCACTTCTCGAGTTTTCTTAAAAATTACCAGGTGCTTATATAACTCAACAGTGCTCAAGGAACAAGTTTTTTATTTCTTGTAAAAAATGTATCACAAATTGCGCATGCTCATAACGATGACATAGGCTTCGTGTATATCTCAACAGTGCATTCGTGTGATGTAAGGTGTGTGCTTTATAGAAATATAATGAACTCGTTCTGACCAATCACAGCATACACATTTCTCTGAACATTTTACAATTATTTGTATTCAATTTTTCACCCTTCAAAGTTGCTTCATAATTGATGCAGCAGCATGTTATATTTGCCTGATGTTGTTATCTCTTGGAAGTCCATCCCTTCCTTTTGATGATCTATTTTAGTTAGCAGCATGTATGTGTACATAACACACTAAGAAAGAGTGTCATTTTGATGTTCCAATGTCTTCTTTTCTTTTTGTTAAAGTATGACATCCCAACACATGTAGGAACCTTAGAAGAGGAAGTCAAAGATGAAATTATGGAAACTGATGCTCCTCCTGAAGGTATTTATTAACCCTTTAACTTCCAGAAGTGATTAACATGTAACTTCTCCCTATAATATCCATACATTATCCAGCAAACGGGTAGTGAGAATACTCAAACTCATCAGTTACAAGATATTACCTGGATCAAACACCAAAATCTTGTAACCAATTTACAAGGAAATGTGTAGCAGCCATAGGGGAGAAAAAACAATCAGATCTTGAGAGTTAAAGGGTTAATAATTATTATTATCACTTAGTTGGGTATTGTGGCACATTTTGTGTGCTTAATGGAAATTTTGGTTGTTCACACTCTGGCATGATAGTTCAGACTGTTTTTGTCTCTATATTTTTTCCAGTTTCTCAATGCCCCCCAAAGTGATAATAATGTTATTACAGTCTTTGTTCTTGGATATAAAATGTTCAAGGCCCTTCTCAGAGTCATTTTAATCCTCACCTAGCAGTTCAGGCTGAAATTACTCAGAGTCAGGCCCAAAACATGTTTATGCCTGTTAATGTACTGTAAACTCTATGGTTTTATCAACTTAAGTTAAAAAACAACATTGTGCTGTAAATAAACCTAATGTCAATTGAAACTGGTCTGCATTGTTTATAACATTGTGACTGTTATGAAAACAAATGCATCTGTAAATAATTTTTTACCTCAAAAAAATTATGTTATGTTGGGGCACAGGTTAGTCTGAGGCGGGGAAAAAAGGTGTTTTCATTGTCCAGAAATGACCCACATTGAGCTTCTACTTTGGACCATCCCAAGACCTCAGTCAGTTTTTCCCAATACAAACCAACCAGCCAGAAACTCTCTTTCCAAAATTTTCCCCTCTTCAATTGTGGTTGTATCTTTTATTAAAGTTTACTTTAATGTGTTTTATTTCTGTTACTCTCCTTGCAGAGAAGCCAAAACTTCCAGAGAAAAAATACTACATCGACACCAATTACATTCATCTTCCGAAAGAGAACATGGAAATTATTAATCCAGTTAAGGATGGAATGAGTAAGTACAAAGAAGAGACAGTAGTTTTACACAATAGTCCATCTTACGGTTGGATGCTTAGTTGCCAAGCCTTTGAACAGAAGTGAGACTAAGGGTGACCTTGTAACAATATTTGATACAAATATTTCTGCTTTTAAAATAAGTTACTTTGTTATCATGCTTGCTAGATACTGGTCTCTAACACAACAAGGTCACCTTCAGCCTCACTCCAAATTAAAGGCTTGACAACTAAGTACACAACTGTAAAATGGCCTCTTGAGAAAATCACCAATGTGGGTGATTTTTGGCCCTGTTGTTGATATGTGTCTGATATGAGCTAGCTTGAAGGTGGGATTTTAAGAGCTTCTGTTTGGTTCACCTCGTGAGTGTTTTCTGTTTATTTATTTATGTATTTTTTGTTTTTAATTGATTATTTTGTCAAATGCAGTTGAAGATTGGGATACATTTGAGAAACTGCTGGACTATATGTATGCGAAGGACATCAAGTCTGAATCAGCTCTTCACCCTGTGGTTATGTCAGAAGCTTCAGTAAGTCAGATTGCTGTGTACATTTTGGTATCAGTGATATATGTATGTACCAAATGGTTTTGGTTGTAAAACTGAAGTCACTTTGTACATGAAGTTAAGGGATTCATTGACAAAGTACTGTTTTAATTAAGACCTTAAGGGTTGGGGGGTGGCTTCTAAATTTTTAGGGCTTTTAGAGAGTGGAGGCGTATCTGAGATGGAGTGGTGGGGGTAGACTCATCGGTGTAATAAGCAAGCTGGAAGATTCCCATTGAGGAGTCCTAATAAAGATACTGTGTTATTGAGGCCTCAATTTGCAACCTGTTTTATATGATATGAATTGTCTCTCAGATTAAATGACGTCCATAGAAGGAGTGCATTTCTTTTTATTGAAACCTCTCATTTTAAATGGAACCTACACTTATTATCCAACTACATGTAAACTAAGTAGCGTACAAACAACCTGTGAGTTTAGTACAAATATCATGCGATATTTGGACTGTTGGTTATTTTGTAGAGTGAAATATCCTGACTATTTAACCAGCAGCTGTGTATGGTACACTTCTCTATCTACTTTGCTTTTCCTGCCTTTTAAGAAATGGGCATTATATCAAGCAGTTGAATTATAAATAACATATCAGATGTTTTGGGGGGTGAGGGTGTGGTTAGGTTTGTAAGAGAGGGAGTGGTTAAACAGAGCACAAACAGTATATCATACCCTTGGATTATTGCACCAATTTGTTCAGAGTTACTATAAAAGCAGTTATTTATTGTTTGCATTTCAGTTGTTAACTCTACATAAGAAAGAGTTACCAAATTTTACGTGTTTAACTTCAGTACTATTACCAACATTATTTCTTCCTGGCTTCATTTTTTTTTTCCTCAGTGGAATGTACGTGCAAAGAGAGAGAAACTTACAGAACTGATGTTTGAAAAATATAACATTCCAGCATTTTTTCTGTGCAAAAGTGCAGTGCTTACAGCATTTGCAAATGGTAGATCCACTGGACTAGTTATAGATTCTGGAGCAACACAGACCAGTGCTGTGCCTGTTCATGATGGATATGTCCTTCAACAAGCAATTGTCAAGTCTCCCTTAGCTGGGGACTTCATCACTGCTCAGTGCCGACAGATGTTTGAAGAACAGAATATTGAAATTGTCCCACCTTACCTCATTGCTAGTAAGGTAAAGGAAAAACTCAGTTACTGTAATTATGAAGCTTTAAGTGACTAGAAGGCTTTTTATTTTGAGGGCAAAAGTCGGGTGTTTTAATAAAAGCCAGTGGTTACAGGCAGTCTACAGCCACCCATAAGATCTCTCACTGGAGTTTGTTTAGCCTGCAAGCAAGCTCTGTTGTTTGTGTTCCACCTTACAACACAGACACCTTCTACACCATTTGAAGGTACTTATGGAAAAACCCCTGAAAGGTTTTCCTCTTTGGTAATGAGAACAACTTCCAAATGCTGCAAATTTCAATAAAATAGAATTTTGTTTGAGGTATTTGTTAGTACAGTCGAATAAAAACTCCTTTTATTCTAGCAACCAAGTATGTTTAATTATTTTATGGGATATGCTCTTTCTGATGTTTATTTAGGAAGCCTCCAAAGAAGGTGGGCCTGCTATTTTCACCAAGAAGAACAATATTCCACCACTTACGAAATCATTTCACAGACACATGGTTACTGTAAGTGGTAGATATTATTTAAGTATATGAAAATTTATACTAATGTGATGACAGTAACCCATTATATTAACAATGATAAGACAGAAATTCTCAGTTAGTGCGTTTTCTGGCTCCAACGCTCTTTACATTGATATGATTTATGGAATTATTAAGGTAATCTTTAGTCCCAGCTGACATTTTAAAAACAGCATTGTTCACTCTAAATACTTCGAAAATGTAAAGAAAAAGGACATATGGAAGTATTTTTTGAGTAAAAATTTTAAGTTTGTTTAGATTTAGCATTTAGCTCTATGCGGTTGAAAGGAGTGGTTGCTGTAATCCATGAGTATAAATTCCTTTTTTCTTTTCTTCTCAGGAAACCTTACAAGATTTCCAGGCGAGTGTGCTCCAAGTATCCGATGGTCCCTATGATGAAAGGTGAATCTTCTAGTATACCCAAATGTCACTAAACAATTATGAGTTCCTTTGTTGTTTCGTTCCCACGTTGCTTCATTCTTTCTGTTGCTTCGTTGCTTCGTGGCTTCGTTGCCTCCTTGCTACGTTGCTTCGTTGCTTCGTTCCTCCGTTCCTCCGTTCCTCCGTTCCTCCGTTCCTCCGTTCCTCCGTTCCTCCGTTCCTCCGTTCCTCCGTTCCTCCGTTCCTCCGTTCCTCCGTTCCTCCGTTCCTCCGTTCCTCCGTTCCTCCGTTCCTCCATCTTCCGTTCCTCCGTTCCTCCGTGCCTCCGTTCCTCGATTGTAAGTTCGCTTGTCCGTTTGTTCGTTCATCCGTCTGTTCGTCTATCGTTCGTGGTTCGTCCTTCGTTCGTTCAATTGTCTGTTCGGCCGTTGGTCCGTTTCCTTCATCCATTTGTTTCTTTCGTCCATTTGGTCCCTTGTTTCTTCTACCCCCCGATTCATCCATTTGTTTCTTTGTTCTCTCTCTTTTTCATCTTCTCGTCCCTTTGTTCCAACTTTTTCACACTCTCTTTAGTTCTATAGTTCACTCTTTCCTCAAATCCTCCGTGCAGAAGTATAAATGAAATTTTTTTGTTGTCTCTAAATTCGTTTTAGAGTATATCACATTTTATTTGATATTTTTATTTTCTTAAAACCTAAATCAATTAATTTGTTTGTTTGTTTATCTACCACTTAAAAGCATTCTTGGCAATATTCCTGGAGTGGTTTACGAATTTCCAAATGGTTATAACAACACATTTGGTGTGGAGAGATTTAAGATTTGTGAAGGACTCTTTGATCCCTCAAATGTCAAGGTTAGTTCTTCTGCTGTTCCTTAACGATAAGCCAGATGAAAAAAACTTACTACTGTAGAAACCTCTGAAGTATAAATCGGGTGAGCGTCGATTACCGTACACAAAATCTGCGCAACTTCCCACATTTAGTCAGTGCTTCAGTTTAATTGGGGGTATTGTCGTCACTATGGTGAATCGAGAAAATGTTTGGCTACTAAAGCTGCCACGACAGTCGCCTATTTGTCCATCTGACTCTGGTCAGAGTATAGGAGAATATTAAGAATTTTAAGCCCCGGAGTTTCCATGGGAACTTCCAAGAACAATTGCCTCCCCTTTTTTGTATTTGAAAAAGAGGTGGCGACAATTTTGAGAATCGTCGATTCAGTTAAAAATGAGTGAGAGGTGTTCGTATCGTTAGATTCAATTGCATTGCTTTACTAGCTCAAGAGACGTGAAGGACAGTTACAGGAGAGCTTTCTTTGAACCTGCCAGCAAGTATGTATAGACGCAGTTAATGAAATTGTAATTGTAATGTTATCATTATGCTTCTTCAGGGTATTGAGGGAAGCACAGCTATTGGTGTCACACAAGTGGTTACCACAAGTGTAGGAATGACAGACATAGATATAAGAGCTGTAAGTGTTTCGAACGGTTTGATTATTTATAAGTCGTTATTCTAACAGAGTGAAAGGCGTGGAAGTGCAAGTTAAACTGTACCTGTAGGTTAGTCATAGATAAAGTGTATAAGCACGTAAACAAGCGCACTAGAGATAGGGACGCACAGTCAATCGACAGTTCACTTCACTGCAAAAGCTTGCAATGTAGCATTTGAATCGTGGGGATGTTAGTTCCCTTTGTAGTATGCACTTCTCTTGATTTCAGTCTCCCCTTAATAACGCGAAGAATTATGAATGATTTGTGTAGAGATATATCCACCCACAACAGAGAGAACACGCGTTTTAAAAGCTACAGGTTGATTTTTAATTTATCAAGCTTCTTTGTTTTACATGAAATTGAACGTAATGTACCTTTTGTTTTGACCAGGGTTTGTTTGGATCTGTTATCGTCACGGGCGGAAATACTCTGTTACAAGGTTTTAATGAAAGACTGAATCGAGAGCTTCTTTCTAAAACACCACCAGTGAGTATCAAACAGCCAGTCATGAGTTCTGTAATTAAGTAGCTCTACTTTTGCTGAACGGATTTGTCCAACATCCTGATGTAACTTTACTTGCACCTGAAGTTTTCTGCCGTCAACTCGCTCTCAGGGCATCATACAATTTGCAGGGAAAAGGAGTCACTCAAAGAGGTGGTCAGTTTAAAGAATTCGTCAGAAAGACGAAAACCGCATGGAACTATGAGTCTATTCCTTGAGAAAAATTAGTAATTATAATAAAAGTAATAATGATGATAGTGATTATAATGATGATGGTCATCATCTTCATTACTGTTTGAGAATAGTGAGAAACGATAATAAAAATACAAATGATAGAATTGATAATCATTATACTAATAATCATATTGTTAATTATAATGGAATGGCATAAGTCAAGCTTAAACACTTTTCCCTTCCTAAGCCTGCACATGTAATCAGTTCATTCAAACAAAGCCTCAAAGTTGTCGTAAAAGCCAAGATGTTAGATCGTTCTGTTGCATGTTTTGAATTGTTTTAGTCTTCAAGAACATCAATGTTTTTTAAAGAGAAAGGAATCCACGAGTTTCTGGCCACAAAATGACGGCATTCCACCGCGAAAAATCGTTTAAAAGATAGCTTGTCGTTTTTAAAGGAGTGATCATCAAGAGAGAGCCCGTTACACTTCCATCTTGACATATGTATGTTAGTTGTTCGATTGATTGTCCTTGGTAACGAGGAAGGAGAAAATTTAATCTTTCCTCACGACTTTACTTCGATGTATGCCATTTATAAAACCTCTTGATTATTGTTTTGTCTTCTCCAGAGCATGAGATTAAAGCTGATATCTAGTGCGCCCACGGAAAGACGATTTAACCCATGGATAGGCGGTTCTATTCTCGCATCACTGGTAAATAATGATAAAGCAAACTTTGAGCTTATGTGTTCGTTATTGAGGATACAAATACTCTTTTCGCTCTAGATACTAATCTGAATGACATATATATTGGAAGAAACTTATTTTACCAAATTTCCTCCTTTTTTATTTCTTTTTTTTCCAGGGCTCATTTCAGCAAATGTGGATATCAAAACAAGAGTACGAAGACCAAGGAAAGGGATGTGTCGAAAGAAAATGTCCTTGACGACTTCGTCTTTGGCAGCAACTGTAGTGTATATTTAATGTATCATAATAGATTTCGCCAGATCACCGTAAAGCTCTTTTTGTAACGTTTTTATATTTCAGAATAGCGTATGAACAATACTTGAGGTTGTTTTTCGAACCAGGGGTAAACTGAGCAACTAAACAGATTGACTAACTGTGACGTTTTCCGAGCACAGTTAACAGCAAAAGACATGAAATCTCAACACGATTGACGACGAATGCTGTCACGTTTTCTTGACCAAAGAAAAAACCCACAACTCAAGGTTGTAAAATGTCTCTCAAGTAAATCAACAAAATATGAGTTATTAGCGTGCATGTTTTCCATCGGACTCAGTACTGCTGTATAATGTAAGAATTTCATTCGCTTGACGCTGAAGTTTTGAAATAATCGTTACCGGCTGCTTTACAGACCATATGTTCATTTAATGAGTGAGTGCCATAGGTTTTTACATGACGCAATCATGCACGTACGCGTGAAAGGGCAGAATGAACCTTATTTGATAAAACGATATTCGTCCACATTATCATCTCTTTTCAGTATCGCAAATGATCATCACTGTTGTGATTTACATGGTAAGCAAAATTGTACAGGCATTTTGATTGGTTGTTACTCATGATCTATTGGAACATAGATGACGTCACCATTAACACCATTTGGCTTTTTTCATCATAAAAGAACGAATAGATTCCATGTTTCCGTGGGTCCTTACAATAATAGATCACAGAAGATGTCAAAATGTGTCAAGAACAAAAGTAACACGCTTGGGTGACATTTAATATCATCTGTGATCTATTAGTAGACAGGCGCATTGCAAAATGGAATCTATTAGATAAATTGATAGGGATTTTCAAAGTCTGGAGCAATGTTACCCTGGCTGCGTTTGCTCGGCCTCTCTTTACTGAAGAGATATGTACAGTAGGTCGGCAGCTCGTCTCGTCGCTTCGATATCTATCTTCCGGTGGTTCTTTCCTTGTTTGGCGTTCAATTGACTGGTACCAATTCCTTTCTTACTCCTCTATACTTTTATGTTACAAGTGCCGTTCTGTTCTAGGGCTGTGTCGTGCCGATTGAAAATTTCGTCCGCTCCGTGAACAGTCAACTGTGAATCTGCACCTAAAGCTCCATTTGTGACAAACCTGTCTCTACAAAGAGTACGTTCTCAACGTCATGAAGAAAATGTTCTGTGTAACGCTTATTCAGCGTATCCGTTTGTAAATATCACATGAACTATTTCGTTAGAGTCCATAATCAGGCTAAGCCGCAGGCGTAGTCTAAACAGAGAAAGTAAATCCATTTCACCTTTTACATCAGTTTGCATATTCTCCATACTATTCTCTATACATATCCTAAGGTGCTGACGAGGAATATTTGCTCAACAATCAATTTTTCAAGGAGAAATTAGACGCTAATCACCCTGAGGGGTCAAAGGGTAAGGTACGAGCGAGTGCATAAATGGTGAATTCCTATTAGCCTTTTGAGTTCAACGTGCGGTTTAACGGTATCAACAGATTTACAAGAGAGTTGTGATATGTTTGAAGGGCACCGCCTTAAAGGCCACTCATTATTCACCGCCCACGGGAGCATGGTGATGGGGGAAAGGGAGATTTTGTTGGAGGATTTTGAGGGGGGGATCACACGGTTTTAGGGGAAATGAAGGGGGGGAAGAACAAAGAGAGGGGACTGTTGACGGCCAATTCAGATCCTAGGCAGGGAATCGAGGAAAATTGTAATACGACACAACCAAAACGATTCTCCGATTTCCTCCTCTCCACCCCCAGGCGGTAAGTAATGACCATTACCTCGCAATGATTCTTCTCTTCTGGTGAGAAAGGCCTTGCCACCTCGAACTTCAGTACAGGTTCAAAATGTGAAAGCAGCATGTGAGAGCAGCATGTGCCCTGAAAGAGCACCTGGTGCTCAGATGGTGAAGCATTTGACCGCGAAACTGAAATGAAGTCGGGGACTTTTAACGAAGAAATTATGGCATCGAGCCACGGTACCTGTAAAAGTAATTGTGCTCAGTCTTCTTTCACCATTAGCAAACCGTTAAAAAAAATCACGACGATTTCGGTTCCTTTACCATCGGGCTTTTGTAAGAAACTTCTCCTGAACTTACTAAAGTATCACCCCGTTTCCACTGATATCAAATTGACTAATTATGATGAAAGCTCCACCTGAAAAATTGAATATAATTTTCCAGAATTCATGTATTATAGATATGAATACTAGTTATCAACGTGTCTGTCACATGCGTTGTCATTAGAAGAGAGACACAGTAAGCAAGGACCAAACAAAAAGAGGAAAGTTGGGTCGGTTCGGTTAACCCCGTTTTAACTCAGTTTTAAACCCGACCTTTCTACATTTGCATTTTTTTCACTGTACGCTTTGGTAACTAGCTGTACATGTTGAACAGACTAGTTTTAATCTAGTTTAAATCCATACGCTCATCATATTGTTTTATGGCAAAAAAGGTGTTTTTATTAATGCATAATGCCTAGATCGGATGTAGATACATTTACTACCGAAACTTCAAGACCAATCACTGCCCGCAACTCCTCACTTCCAACTGAGTTTGCTCGGCAGAGTTTCGCGAGTCAGACGTTTGTTGCAGACTCTATCACCAAGAAAAATTTTTATTTCAGTGATTTCGAGAACACATTTAGCAACTACAAGCCAGGGAAACATTTAATAAACCATCCGCAGGAACTTTAATGAAAGTTGATTACCATCGATGTACCGCCACCTGTAGGACCTCTTACCGCCGGCTCTGTGCATGTTTTAAGTTTCTCCTTGAGAGCAAAGCCGCCTGTTGCATCATTAGCAACTGCCTACGGAAAAGTGATTGAAACCGGCCTCGAGATAAAGGTCTTAATTTGCCCATGAAATGGCTGTTTTTTCCATTTTTTGTTGGTAGATGATGTCTTCTTCTTCCTCTTGATATTGTAGGGAAACTCCCGAGTTTTTTGTCTTTCTTGGGTACCTCCCTCCAGAGGCATTCCCTTAAATTGCTTTTATGTACAAATAAAATTGTATTAGTCGCTTAAAAGTGCACGATGGACGTGGCGAAACTGCAGTTTTAGCTCCCTAGTTTTCACGTAGTATAATGCAAAAAGGTAACTTCCGACGTACAACAAATGCAACAAACAAATATTAAACAAGCTGCCGAAAAAAAAGAAGCCATGATCACTAAACGCTTAATAGAATTGGGTCCATGATTTCGAGGGACATTTCAAGTGTCACATACATGCAGTTGAACCTAAATTAAGCGGCACCGTATTAAGCGGTCAGTTGTCAAAGTTTCAAATTTACTTTCCCTTTATTACTATATTTTCACCTTTATTAAGCGGTCGCGGTCACCCTAAACTGAATCCAAAAAACCTATTTTTATTATTTCCACCTATATCGAACGGAACCACTCCGATATAACTAAGAATAATATTTCAAGTAATTTTTTATCTTAGTTTATCTCCCAAAATCAGATTAAATAGTATTTTTGAGCGACATTCTGTACATTTAGTGGTCAGTCATGGCATAAAGCGGCGCAGTGTATCTGAGGAACCTGTATTAAGTGGTCACTACGCCATACCTGTGAGTAATTACTCAATTCAAGTTCGACAGTGGTGTAAGAATAAATAAAAGTTATGATGCTTGATGGGGTTTGTCAGTAAGCTCATTAGGGTCGAGATCGCATGAACAAACACAGCTGCCGACTAACAAACAAAATAATGAGGAACAAGCCGCAAAAGAGTAAAATTGTATGTGACAAACCTTAATGAAAACTGCCGCGATAAAGAGGCAAATTATACATTTGTGTAACATATTCTGAAACTCCTCGAGTAGTAGTGCGCCTTTGAGGCTACGGAAAGAGAGACATCATATCTTCCTTATAGAACAATAACATTTTAAAAACCGTGCTAGTTGATTCTTCATGAGAATCTGAAAGATTAGGTGTTGTGAGCGATACGGAAAACTTAAACAAAGCCCACTGGATGACAAATTTATGATTGGAATAATGCTTTCATGCCTTCAATGTAGTAAATCCATTACGTTATTTTACCCCGAGGACTGCATTACTTGCTCTAAGCAAGAATACTGGCAAGATTATTTTTGAATCCAAGCAATACTTTCAGAAAGAGTTTCTAATGCTCTATATATTTCATAATATAGTCATAAAGTATAACAGCAGCTTTTTGCTCACTGCAAGGGAGTACGAGGAATGTGGTGATACCATTAAAGGACCCTGTATTCAAAATGATCTGCTCCGGAGCCACCGCGAATTTATATGGTTCCAGCTGAATTTCAGTAGTGAGGGAAATCTAAAATTAAACCTCTTCTTTCCCTCAAATCCCTGTGGCAGTTCTCTGGTACACGTTAGGTTCCTAAGGGACCTGAGGTATCTTGATAGCACAGTGTCTTAACAGGTTTATCAACGGCCACAACTTGCTAGTCATGTTTGAATTTCGTCGCTCGCCGAATAGTATCTGTCTCGCGCGACCCGCTATTTCGTTTTCCAAGTACTGCCTAATTAACAAAAAGGACCAGTGGTATTTAAGCGCAAATCCAGTATTTCAAGCCTCTTGGGTATCACTCTGGCCACAAAAGTCTGGGGTAAAATTTCACCTGCGCGTCGGTAGCCTATTAGCACTGTGGACTATGCCGATGGGTTCAAAAACAAGCTCTGTTTAGAGACATCTTTTTTGCATTCTTAAGCAAGACACTAAACTTTCACAGTGGCTCTCTACCTACCTCGGAGCCAGGGGTTATTACCTATAAATTCCTGCGAAATGTTAAAAAATCTTGACAGAAATTCTGCTAGGTTCCCGATATGGAACAATGCAATGGACAAGTGCACCTCAGGCAAAGCAAAACAAAGCAAAAGAGGGTCTCGAGAATTTCTACCATGCGATGATGTAGCGAGAAAGTAACAAACCTAACGGAAAATAACTCTTTTAGAACCCTACCCGTTGAAGTCAATACCATGAAAAAACGTTATGAGAACCACCCCTCTAAGAAAGTCATACTTTATAAACAAGCCTACCCTTTGAAGTCAAAAGGTAACAAGAACCGAGAACCCTGCCCGTTGAAGTTAAAACCATGAAAAGAAGATATGGTGAACCTCGACTAATAACCACCCTTCTAGGAATATCATACTTTAAATGCGAGCCCAAAGATATTTACGAACGCTACACCATTTTTTTTCTGCCAAATGCTCTCGAATACTATGCAGGCACGTGTTCTAGTCAAAGCATTGTCCTTTCAAGTCGTATTTGTTTTTTTAATCTTCTGACATTACCAGTAATTAATGATGATTCACCAGAGGCTTAGTGAATATTCTTGAAATTGAACCAATCACTTAAGTCTTTTAATGAAGGCTACAAAGGTGACTTGAGATATGGGTACCTTTTTGGAAATATATGGTTGTAGTATTTTCTTGGTATCACCGAGTATTTGCACAAGTTTTCTATTCGATCTCTTTTTGTTTTGTCTTTGTTTGAATACTAAATATGGTCCTCGGCGGACTTAATTGTAAATTTTACTCCCGAATTAAACGAGAAATTAAATAAGAAATTACACATCTGCCCTAGGCCTTCCGTGGATGGTGAATGTCGTATTTGAATAATGTTCTGAGAACAATTAAATTTCAGAAAGAAACGAAGTTTGAACTATGGCCTCAGAGTTTTCCATTTACTAGGCGTTAGGACGAACTAGGAAAAGAACAAAGCTAGGCTTTTTATAGAGAAGGAGCAAGAAGAAGAAACGATTTAAGACACGTTTCCTTGGCAGCTTTTCCCTTTTCAATTTATTTTCCAAGATCATTTGCATTTTTTAATACTTTCTGACGTCATCACTGGTAACAAATTATCGCTAAAGGCAACCAATCAATATTTTCGAGTAAATACATCCATAACCAAGTTGAGCTGATTCGGTTTTAGAACATTAACTGCCGGATGACAATTGCTTTGGGAAAGAGAGTATTATTTTTCCTATAGATGATGGGTGTCGTCAACTTCCTCTGGGTCTACCTTTGACGACAGCACCTCTCGGCAACGGATACGGCAGCTGAGCCCGTGAAGTCTTCAACTCTCACGATCTAAATACCGTAAGTTTCTTACACTTTTAGCTTGGAAAATATCATGTCAAATAAAACAAGATCCCTAATTCGACATCTTTCTTTTATTTCTTATCACCTTTGCTTTTGAAATTGTGTCCTTTTTGGTTACCTCTGAGAGTGAAAGTGCCAAAAAGCGGCGTATTCCCCATCCAGTGACTGAGAAATTTCACGCGGGGGCATAGTTGTTTTCGTTCATGTTATCCATCATAAACTCGTTTCTCAATTGATTCATATATGCATTTTCTTTTTCTTTTCTTTTTTTTTTTTTTTTTGGGAGAAAATTATTAAAATCTTTGATTTTAAACGATCGTCTCCATCAGCAAAACTTGAAACATATCCTTTTTACTACTCATTGTCTTAATTCTTAATTGCTATTCGAGAAAAGAACTCGCAAATTTGATTGGGCCAATGAGAAGTTGCATTGCTTGCTCTCAATTGAGCTACTTGTTCTACCCGCTGCATTAAAAATATATCCATTAAGCTTTGTTTTTTTACGACGCAACTTTTGTTTCGAGTGAGGTGCCCAATTTTTTCAATATTTTCAATCTTGTTTCGTGAAAATCGAATAGATGCGAAGTCGTGCTGCCGAAAAAACAACCTTAGCACTTCTTGTATATTAATTTGCTAAGACATGAGAATGTTCCACAAAATGTGATTCGACAAAGATGAAATAATTCAATAAGAATTTGAAATTTTGATTTCGTTATGATCGTCGAAGGTAAACTGAAGGCCAAGGCCGCACGTACAATGATAAAAAAAAAAGTGGCGTCTGGTTTTTTTCGGTTTTCGGGTTATCGTTATTTATTTACGTCGGTTCAGCGGATTATCGACGCAATCAAAATTTTTGGTATACGACTTTATATCCTTTTTGCTGTGCTATCATGATGAACATTATCATTTCAGCTTGATTTAAATAACTGTATTTGGTGGTTTCTCTTCTGAGAAAATGTTCTCTGTTTATGGAAATTCTGGCTGGGTCTTCGGTACTCTGATAGGCTCGATGCCTATCATATTTACTGCACGGAAATAAAAAAAGCAGTGATTTAGAAGTGTAAAAATTAATTTTGCCAGCGGAAAATTTTTTCATTGGTAAATACCTGTAAGTAGCACGGCTTTGATCGTTTGGAATTCAGCAATAATGACAGTTATTGCTATGAAGATAAATGCACTTCAGTGGTGGCTTAGTGCCTAGAGAAAGTTCCTCAGTTTTATTATTTGACTCTTTAATTTTTCAAACTTAATTTATATCTTTCATCTTGACGATTGAGCAGAAGTATCTTTTTAGGGTACATATTTCAGGATGCACGAATTGTAGTTATCTGTAAGTCGCTTCGATTCCTGTCTTACTGCGTGCTAATTTTCTCAGAAGCGGTTCATCCCTTTAAAAATGGTTAGCTCGGTAACTTAGTCTTTAACTTGAAATCAATGTAATTCAACGAATTTGATTTTAAAAAGTCAAAAAAAAAAGAAAAAAATCTTTATTTTGACTGGTAAACATTAGGCATTTCAAAGTGATATTTCCTCTTAGTGACAAAAATTAAAAAAGCACGATTATAAAAGCCGAAAGCAAGGAGTTGTAGGCGGAGTGTAAGCATTATGCCCTTTCTAGTTTTTTCTCGGCAGTGAGTGCATCCGTGAGCTGTCGTGAAATCTTGACAAATCTTTCTTAATATCTTAATCAGCTACATGCAGTGTTAAAAGGTTAATTTCTCGCCTAGAAAAATCCATGTATTATAAATGCCTTAGACAATTTTTTCAACAAACAAATTGTTTTTACTAATCCTTTTGAATGACGTTAGCTTGAACTGAAATAACGACAGGCCTTTTACAAAGAGAGGAGGCAGCGTTATCTTAGTTTTTATGCAAAAAGTTTGCCTAGTTCGCTTTGAATTCTATCGATAGGTTTTCGGAGTACAGAAGTACCGACAGAAAGTGAAAAATTGTCGGAATGACGATTAAATCAGTTCCGTGTTCAGGTACTTCATCTTATCACAATGAATGTTGTCCCACTCTTCTGTCGAGTACAAACAATTTTTGGCCACTTACGAACGAGTAGTAATTACACTCGAGAGAAAATTAGTTATTCGACCCAAATGTTCATTAATCCGCCTAATCTATGTGACAAAAGATCTGGAATGGACCAGAGTAATCACAATTAGCATGTAATCACGGAGTAAACCGCTCTCAAGAAAGCAATATACATTTCTTACCATAGGAAGTGGTTATATGAACAATTATTTCGAATATTCATGAATGATTTTGAATATACTTTACATCCACGAAATATTATAGCCATTGAATCCTTCGGAAACCTTCCGTGATGGTGAAATCTTAAAGTCAATTTTTAGCGCGAAATAAGCTATTTCCGTGGTAATCGTCACGAATATTGTGGGCTCTCGAATTTGACAGCAGAAATATATTGAGTGTACGTGCGTGGCAATTAACCTAATAGAAATGCTTGTCCCTCTTTTTCAAGTTCACTGAAAATCTTGAGACGATACACGTACTTTTCATTTACTTTTTAAAAATTAAGTTTCTCTGTTAAGTGATCATTTATCTTCTCAGACATTGGTTTTAACCAAAATGGCACAAAACAGCTTTTTGTTATGAATATTTTATATTTCGTAACCTGTGGATCTGACAGGAAATTGGGATTATTCATGTAAAAATTCCTCTCGCAAAGTTCATGACTATTTACATTCAAGTCTATTGAGCCGGGATCCTTTGTTGCAGCTCTTTGGTTTATCTCAACTGCAAAGCTTTTCTTTTCGTTAGTTTTTCCAACTGTTCACTGAGTCCAATTTCAGTTTCTTTATGAGGCGAGTGCGATCGTAGCAGTTTTAGTCCACCATCCACATCTTGATCCGCTCCGTCTGAGTCTAATCCTCGATTTACGAAGCCCTAATTAAATTTTGATTATTTGCATTCGAAATCGCCTTAAATGTTGGGCAATTCGCCCAGTGTTCAGAAATCGTCACAACAGTCAGATAAGTCACTACTACCAATTCAGCAAGCCTCCCCTTTTAAGACCACTGAAAGATTAAGAAAAAAATTCAATAACAACACCGCCCAGGAAACTGAATTCAAAAAGGTATTTCATTTTCAGCGATTTGAGTTGGTGACTTTGATATGTGACAAAGGAATTTTCATCTGACGAAATATTTTTTTTGTGTAAACGATTTGTTACCTTTTAGTTTTTAGCCTACACAACAGGACTAGCAGCCATTTTCGACGTTTAAGATATTTTCCTAAAATGTTTTTAAGTGTTTACTGAACTGACAGAATTCACTAAAATTAGGAAGGAATAACGGAATATAACATAGGGCAAAAAAGAGGGAATTCATATATCGGTAGACGAAAGCGACTGGACACCGTGGCGAGTAATGTATTTAATAATTTAGAATATTTTTTGGCTAAATTGGTTTTAAAATGTCATTTTTACAAAATCGTTCACCGTAAAAATTTACACCGAGCTTTCTAACACTAACCGAAAGATAACGCTTCGTATTATATGAGACAGAGTTATCGAGGTGTTAGATTTACACCATGCTTACATCATGCATATGGATAAATATGGATAACCTGAATCTAATAATGGAGCAAAAAGAGATAAAGAAATCGATCTGAACTGTTGAAGAAAAGACTTAGCTCTCTGCACAGAGTTTATTCAAATCTTAACTTTTCCGGAAACCTTGAAATATCGCACTTAGATCTCAAGTCGTTAACATAACACTGTTTTCCGTTTCATTACTTTATATCAGATATTTTGTCTTGCATTCGGCACCTTTGTTTGCCTTCATATTGATAGTTCAAGGAGATCAGATAAAACATCATGGTATTAAGTTTAGAGTGCATACATGGTAACACATCCTTAAACAAGAAGCGCGCAAACCACACAAAAATAAATATCGTAATTTGTATCCCACGCTAATTATTACAATGTCCTCCTTCGGAGAAATAAACAATACAAATTAAAAAAGATAGATATCTGAAATAATCCATCGGGAATCATACTTCTGATGCTTTTTTTAACCTTGAAGATAATTTTGAAAGCTAAACATCGTAATTTTCAATTGCTTTTTCCATAATTTCTTTTCTGCTTCACAAAGTTCTGGGGTCCGTTAAAAAAACAATGTAACCACATTATATTGGCTTAATGGCCACATGCAGATCGCTGTTGTTCTGAAAATGCTACAAAAAGCCGTTTGTTATGGGAGAATTTCATGGTCTTCTTTTTCTTTTTTGTCATGAAAGGACATGTTTAGGTTTACCAAACGGGAACATCTCTGAGTTTTCTTCAATCATGCGCATATATTACAGAACGAGACAGTTCACATCCTGGAAATAATTGTATTCTTTTACCCAGAACACACCTATTAAATGAAGCTTTTGTTAAACGAAGACAGCGTGACGCCAAATTGAACGTTTTGACCCTCAGGTTTCGCTTCACGCGCACAAGTTGCCCAAATTAAGGTTTGATTTACTAAAATACACTGACGTCATACAATTATAGACTAAACGAAAAGAAAACTATTTTTTTCCTTGCATTATCTTGGAAGATCATTCCGGTAAACCTCAAGCTTGAACCGTGTTTTTGCCTAAAACCTTTATTTGTTATGAACTTAAAGATTATGTTCCCATTATCTTGCCATAGAAGCAATGAGGTTTTATTGGATTTTCGGGCTTTGACGAAATCTACGGTGTACACCACGAAAGTCCATTTCCAAGACAATTCAAATATATTTCCTGCTGTCTATTTAGTGTTATTGGCTGAGAGTAATATCGAAGTAATTCATGGCAATAACCTCGAAAGGCCTCACTCCGGACAGAGGTGACTAATTAAAAACATCTATTTGTTTTTCTTTCTTCTTCTTCTCCTTCTTTCTCGCATAAAAAAGTTAATTTTTTTAGATTCTGAGACATCTTTGACCCGATCTTCAATAGGGAAAAAAGAATTTTTCATCTTTAGCCTAACTTGGAGACAGTTTCCTCTTTTAAAGCAATTCAAATTGCTCAGTTGGAAGCGGAAAGCGGTTTCATGTTTATTTTTCATCTCACGTGTGTTTCTTCACGATATTTTATCTTTCTGTTATTTCCATGTCCATAGTTATGGATATTTCGTCTGAACATTGAGAGAAGAGATCATCATTGCCAACAATATTTGGCTAAGTATGCACTTTTAGGTGATTTAAGAGTTTGAATTGCTATTTGAATATTTTGAGATTACGTTTGTTTCCTAATTGTGATCGGGAGCCTTTTCAATTGGAAAAGAGTGGCAAACGAAGCAATAAATGATCAAGAGCGTTGATCAAGCAAATAGACCATAGGATGTAACACAAACAACGAAAAGCGGCAACTTATATCAAATTTTAGCAGCCGTGAAATCAATTGGTTCTTATGATGAGGAAAGAGATCTGGGATTACATCATTCTGAAACACACACATAAACGCCAACTGAACTTTGTCCAAAAACCATATGCATATGCAATTTAAATCGTGAACAAATCACTGAGTTTTTTTTATTTTGTTTGAGCTCTAATTAAGTATGCTTGTAAAAAATTAAGAAAAGGTGTTTTTTTTATTCTCCATGATGTGAATACCTAGTGAAGTAGCTAAATTTGAAATTAAGGAGCCAAACATGGTGCAGGTTTATAGGGATTTTGACAGATTTTACTGAAAAAAAAAGGACTTTTGCCTCCATTCAGTAACTTTAAATGAGATTGAGAATTTATAGCCCTAAACATACGGCTTTGAAAACGACCACACAATAGCTTTCGATTAAAAGATCATCATCTGCAGGACTTTGATTTGTGATATCTCAAAACGATTATGCTTTCGTCATTTCCTGTCTTTGAATTCTGACAGTACGCTCATTGTGTCGCGCAATGAAACGTATTTAAAGGAAATCCCTAAGCAGCAATTTATTGCCGTCTTACGTGAAAAACCATTGTGCTTCTTTTTCAAATGGAATAATGTGTGAGTTCTTGGCGCCTGGCGTGACCTTTATGTTAAGTATGTTTTTAACCTTGAAGCGATTACGGTGATAATTTAATATGATTACTTATTGTGAAGGGAATCAGTTTGACAGCATACGCTTAAAGACACCTCACATTTAATTACAGTTACTTTGAAATTAGAGATAAAAGGGATTTAGCTCGATGATATAAACACAATTAGCAATTCAAAACAGCTTCAAAGTGATCAATTGACGGTTTACCCATTTAAACTCCAGGACTGACCATATTAACATCATTGCGACATTTCTGTGTTTTAGTTATAATTGACGACGCGGCCAGGAATGATGAACAACTCGACATCTGCCCAAGGAAGAGCAACGGGAACTGTGACCAGCGTTGAAGCTGTTCTCTGGGGGACTTCGTTCGGTGTCGTAGCCTTTATGATCATCTTGTCTAATAGTGTCTCCATTGCTGCGTTCGTCAAAGCAAAACCTCGTCGCAAGCATACTCATTACTTTCTCATCAACTTGTCCGTTGCTGATTTCATGGTCGGAACTGTATCGGTGCCTTTGTTCATCTCCTATCTTGTGAATCCACAAATGTGGACTAGCAGCCTTACCATGCCAATGGTTCATTCTACAGTGGATATTCTCTCAGGACTAACGTCTGTCTTCACACTGGCCATTGTATCTATAGAAAGACTATTGGCTGTATCCATCCCTTTCAAGTATCGTTTAATTCCCACGTATGCTTACTTCTGCTGTATTGCAGCCACGTGGGGTCTCTCTGGAAGCGTTGCCGCCATGAGTATCGCATTTTACTTGCGGATTGTGAAAGAAGCTTTCTACATTGTTGTAATTCTTTCCCTGTCGCTGTCCCTGTCTGTTGCCTGTTTTGCTTACATAGCTATCATATATAAAATCAATCAGAAAAACAACAGCGCAAAGAACGCGAAGGATTTAACAGTCGAGCGTAGACTAAGCATGACCTTGTTTTTCATCACTACCATTTTTGTCGTATCGTGGCTTCCATTCCAGCTCGTCTTCATTTTGGTCCACTTCTGTAAGACGTGCAGATTTTCCGTGAACACTGTGTTCTTTACTAAGCTATTGCATTACAGCAACTCGTTTATGAACACAGCAGTGTATAGTTTCAGAATCCCGGAATTTAAGGAAGCATTAAAGGAGATTTTTAGTCGGTCTTCGTCCCGCAGCGGAGTCAACGATATGCACTTAAAAGAAATCACTTACGACAGCTCTACGTCTGTAACTCGGTTGACTCTGCATAGCCCACTGATAAATTCGAATAAAACCTCATCGTCTTCACTAAGCAAGACTGTAGAAGTGAGTTCTATGGATGGAAATCAAACAATGGCTAACAGCCTGTTAAGGAACGTTTAGACTGAAATCACAGAGAATGAGTTCGCTATGTATCGTTATAAAGTTTTCAAAAAAAAAATATGCCCTCTATCCCACGATTGGTTTCTTCACCGTTCACGGGCAATATGGACACAAAGGAGACCTCCCCTTTTTAGATTTCCTCCTGTTAAATGTGATGGAATTTCTTTGAAAATCTGATGTTGTTTTATGCCTTTCCGATTTCTAATGATTTGTTGATTGAAACTTGAGCGCTGTAATGAGTAAACACTACTTTAATATCTTTTACAGACAACAGAGTTAGTGTAGCTTAGAATCGTATCATACATTTATCATCTCTATACCTAGTACCAAAAGAATGAACTGATCTTTGCTTTATGCTCACGTTCTCGCCTTTCTACCTTTTTGATAGAACTGTTATACAATTATTTAGTTAGTGACATATGTTCTGCCATCATTTGATGAATATTTCATCAACATAATTGATTATCAAAATCTTACCTCAGATTGGCAGGGTTAGCCGGTACTTCAAATCATTAAGTGTCAAATCGCGAAAAAAATATAAAAGTATATATCTGTAGCCACGAAGAAGGACATTATGATAGCATAAACATTCAAGAAATAGTTTAAATATTGCCGCCTTGAAGACAGCTGAACTAATCCAATCTTAGACAAAATCTCGATTTCTGAGAGAATTTTTTCTTCAGACGTCAGGAATTTATTTGTTTACTTTAACTTTTACCTAATTAAGAGTAAAAGCAATGAACAAACCACAGAAGTAAAAATAAACTGATTTGCTTTGATTAGACTACTTTGATTTTTATGCAGTTATGAAGCATAACAGGATTATTAGAAATGAAAATAGGGAAATGAGGAAAAACAAATAAGAATGCGGCTTTTACCAGTAATTATCTAACAGACCTAGAATAAGCAAAGTTAGTGCAGCTTCTATAGAAGTTCTTCCCATACGCACATTTTTCAATCGAGACATCTTGGCAATTTGGGACGCTATGGCCTGCATGGCGACGGAATAACCACACTGATGTTTCCATGGACTCCATTTTTGAAATCTGACCACTTCACAGCGTTCCCTTCACCTGAGAGACAAGGCTGAGAGAGTCGAGTAATATTATCATCTGGGAGAACATGACTCCAGATGTTTAAATGTGCGATCTGACCGATGAAGTTTTTCTCTTTCAAACGATCTCCTTGAAACTTCCCCAGTACAAGGATCCCGTCGCCATCAATCACAGCACCTGCCTTTAAGCCTGTTCCTCCCTTCTCCAAACCCCCATCCTTGTAAAGGTTCCATGAACCGTCATTATTCTCCCAAGTCACGCAGATGTGATGCCATTTGCCATCGTTTGCAGATATACCACTTGCGCTGATTAAAAAAAAAAGAATCTACAGGAACATTGGCTTGAATAAGACAGTTATTGGTTAGTCGAAGTATATTGTGAAACATTTAATCGATGTGAGACCCTATTGCAGCGTTGTTACCAAAAATGGAAAAGCAAAATACAAATGCGCTACTTTGTTGAAATAAACTCTTGGAACGCGTTCACGATGGAAAACGAGTTATTGATAGTTCAAAATTTTCGTTGATATGCTTTCATTTTTCATTCCGTTCTTCTTCCGGTTACAAGAATCTCAGAAGACAAGAGGTTGTAATGCACATTGAACAAAATAATCCATAAACATATCACAAGAAAAGAAGGCCGGAGAAAACTTTTGCTGTACATTTTTGTTTTAGGCTTGCCGTGATACTCACCCCGGACTTTTGTTCGAGACCTGGATGCGGAAGTTCTTGTAGTTTTTCAAAACAATTTCATTTTCCCTTCCTTCCACTGCGTAACTAAATGGCGTTCCCTGATTGTCTCGGTCATCTGTTTTCATCCAAAAACAGATTGTGAATGCTTGTAATTTTGGAACTGATGCGGGCAAGATAACAGAATCGTTAAACCCAGCTGCAGATGGAAATTCCAGGGAAAAATCTGAAACTAAGCAGAAAATCTATAAGAAATGGAAAATTCATTTTCTCATCGTTTCTGGTGTAATGGAAAGAACTATGCCTCAGAAACTAGACCTAAGGAGTCGTTGTGATAAAGGGTAACCAACTTAAACATTATATCCGTGTTACCCAAGGTTATGTGCGGCTTTTTTCGGAGAAGGTTTTTAACTTGCACAATAGATGTAGGGCTAAGGCAAGGGTAAGTTTGTTTCAATAAAAACGTCACGAAACACATCCGAAAGTAAAAGTAATTGCTAACTTAAAATGGCCTGTTTCAATTGATCTGAAGAATCCTTTGGTCAGATGGTATTACTTTTTCAGTTTTAATACGTTGTTGTTTGAACACAATATTACGATCTAACAGAATATTTTTTGTCGGTGCAAATGGCTTTAGAAATTTAAAAAGAGTTCCACAAAACGATGGCAAACTTCTTCAAATATTCACTCGCTGCTTTGCAGCTTTTGCCTTTGTGGTGAAATTAAAATATCACTTACATTAAAAATCAAAGCAATTGGTCCCAAATCGAAAAGGAGGGAAACTATCAGTCGTAATTCTATCTGGTTTCAAACTGCCCAGAGTGACTAACTACGATTGAATATTTCAATAGCTTAGAGGTGTCTTCATTGTTATCTTTTATGATTTGATTTACCCAGAAATGACAAAACTGACTTACAGTCTTGACACGATAACTCATGATCATAAACTAATCTTTGGCTAATTTGTAGCAAAGCCACAACGTGTTTTCAGTGTCACAATTATGAAACTTATCTAATTGAAGCTAAAAATCATATCTATCCCATCTTTAAAGCCGCTAATGATTGACGCATCTGAGTGTCTTTGCGCATGCCTCTTCCGCTTGTGACTTCGCTTTCTCCTCGTCCCTCGATCTTTGAGGAGACAGTCCGCCTCTTAATTAGGGGCTGGAATTTCCTTTTTTTTTTAATCCCACCCCCGGCCAATCAACTGTGTTTTGAGAAGTAAGTTTTACTACCACGCGACACCTCAAAGTTAATTAACCAATTGGTCCACTTCCCACCGGTCGGGACTCTCGAGACTTGCATTCACTTTTCTTTACTTATTTGGGTTTTTTTGAGTTTTAAACAGTGTTCCCAATTAGTACAGTACCAAATCCATCGACACGTCCAAAATTTATCCATTAAGTTTCTCTCTCTGTTTACACCTTTGTTCCCGAACAAGAATCTACGCAGCACAGTTATTTATTTAATGAATAACTGTTTCAAAAGTGATTCTTGCGAATCTTTCTTTAGATGCACAAGCATAATATTACAACATCAACTCAGTGTAAAAAAGTTACCATGGTAGGTTTCCTTGTTTTGGATTTCCTGGGCTTGATGGACTTTCTACAGCGGAAAAGAAATAAAGATGGATCATACACTCAGAAAAAAAACTAATGAGCTTAACAGCCGTATCATGTCAGGCAACTCTGTTACGCTAAATCTGTCCTCATTTTGGAGAAAATATTCAGTCTGGTGGCGCTTTTAGGCGAGATCTCGATTTAAATTGATCGACCCAGAGGGAAGCTGCCTTGTGTCTCTTACTCAAACCACAAATATCTCCCGGTTACCTGCACTAAGGTCTTCTTACCTTCATTATACTATACTGCGAAAATATAACATCTTCCTCTGGGGATAATTTATTTTTCGTCTTGGCCAAAAGAGCTGCATCATTTAATTCGCACGTCCCATTGCTTTCATGTTTCAGAAACTTAAAGTTTGTTGAGATGCACCTAGACTCTTTCAAGCAGTGTTGAGTGCAACAAATAATACTTGGGACACGTAGCGTTTTAATAACGCTTCCTTTAAGGCTAAAGCCTACTCGAGTTGTTATTGCCCCATCAGTGTAACTCCTCTCTTGTCCGCAAGCAGCCTCAAAATTGAAAATAATTCGGGAAAGTAGAAGTAAAAACAGCCTGGTCGCAGTTATTTGCACCATCGCAATTGTCAATGAATTAGGATCTATGCATTGTATAAAAAATCGGCAACTCGATGGTTTCATTTAAAATTTCAGACTGGTTGAACAATGGTTTCACTTAATGAAAAAGGCTAAGAGATTATAAACTCTTCGACAGAATGAAGCCCAGATTGTCAGTGACGAATTGTGGACATTCAAGAAATTTTAATTTTGGAATTTTCGAAAATCAATTAAAATTACTTACGATATAACATTTTTTTTCCACTTTAGTCCTAAGTCGTTATGAGTATGTTGTATAGGCCAATGTGCTCCTGAATACAACTTCATGTCTAATGCAAATTCATCATCACTTCTTTTTGTTTCCCAAGTGTTAAATCAATTTATGTTTGTAATTTTTGTCTGTTATAAGTTTAAGTGAAAAAAATTGATAAAAAGGCTTAACGATGCCTTTTATCAATCAATGATACGCAAGGAAAACTTTATTTTCATGTTTGTTGGTTTGTTCTTTTATTTTCATTTGTCTCTTTTTTTACTTTAGCGAGAGTTCAGTTCTTTAGTATGGTTTTTTCTTGTCGAGATAAGTAAAAAACTTCCGGTAGAAAATTCAAAATAGATTTAGAATAAAAGGTGTGCGTAAGTTAAGCTACCTCCCGTTGTTGTTGTTTTTTTCCTTTCTTTTCCTCCAATAGCTTTTACATTTCTAAGAACTTTTGCTTTTCCACTTGACTTGAAGGAGTAAAAGAAATACACTTTCGTGCTATCCCCTTTGAAAAGGAAATTCCGAAACCGGTCTAAAATAAAGTCATGTGACTTCCTGAATATGAATATTTTTTAACCGGAAGTCTTTGGGGCGCCCACAGCCGTATAATACGAGTGTTGAGTTATGCATGTGCATATGCACTCGATTTCATAAATCCTTCAAGAATTACTATTTGATTAGTTTCTCATCTTGGTCGTTTTTGCCGGGCGAGTTCTTCAAAACCATAGAAATCTGCGCCACGCGCCAGTTGACTTCAAACGCCAATTGAAATCATGTTCAAACCTCGGTTTGGACGACAGCATTTGCGCACATTTGCAGAATGGGCTCGCCCTGTCTTCCAGTAGTCTTTTATAAAGCTGGAGTACTCGATTACTAAGCGTCACCCTTAAATGATCGATGACTGAAGAGGTTAAAATTTTGGGCAGTGCTTGCTGCCACGATTCAATAAATTCCTTGCCTTACTGGAAACTCTCTTGAATGAAGTGTCACCTTTTTGCGGCTTTTCGAATTCTCATACCCACATCACTTTCTACATAAGCGCCAAAGCAATCGCATGAGTCCTTGAGTCGCTGGAAATGTCAGATTTTGCGCCCACAGCCGAACACACAAAACAACACTTGGAGGCATGGGCGCGTCGGTCAGCTAGGCTCATTATACACTTTGTTAACTCAGGTGAACAAACTCCACTGTTACAGTAATTCTAAGAACACGCCACGGCCTTAGGGTTAACCCTAACCGGAGGCATGGGCGCGTCGGTCAGCCAGACCCATGCTACATAGTAAAAGTAAGGGCTTAAGTTCAGAGGGACAGAGATTTAGAGACCTAAAGCCGGCTAGACAGCGAGTCTATAACATAAATGTTTTTAGCTCCTACGGAAGCCCAGCGACCGTGACGCTGAATGTTCCTCTCCGAGACGCCTGAAATGGTTGCCAAAGTAGCTCCTACTGATCTCGTGGAATGAGTACTACACTTTGATATGTCAGGTACAATATCCGAAAAAGACTTCTTAAAGGAATTCGCGTATGCAGGGTAACTGATAGGTTTGTTAATCGAAACTAAACGCTTACGATTTCCTGAAGACGAAATAGGATGAAAAAGATACTCGTCAGAATTCCCGGCTACATGGGCTTTGCTCATGTACGCCCTTAGAAGGTAGCAAGGACAAGAAGACGAACGGGTTACGGCGATGACGACAGAACGTCCTTCTCTTAATTGATCTGTTTTGCTTTTCTCAATAAAAAAATAGTAATATAGCTAGAAACGGAACTGAAAATGCTTACTACGAATGAGACATAATTCTGAACTATTGAAAAAGCCGGAAAAGGCGAGGACGAACATAACTAAGCTTCTTAATTGCAAAAGATTGCCAAAGTCAGTCCTATCAGCCAGTTGCTTGAGATGGGTCACCTCAAGGGGTTCTTTTCTATGAGAGGCTGGTTGGCTAACAAGACGAGGGGCTCCCTCCTTCGCGGAGATAACGGTGGGGCTTAGGGTGGGAGAATCCACTCCTGCCATCTGACGTAGTCACTTGAGAGCGTAAAAAGCGCTGTTGATAGCAGACGCCGACTTAGATGACTGTAGAAGGAACTGCAGGTAGAGGGCATAATCCATGGGACCGACAGGAAGAGCGGGAACGCCCAACACGCCCTTGGCGAACTCTAACTATCTGTTGAAGGCCCTCAAATAGTTTTCCGGTTAAGTTTCTGAGAGGCCTGTCATCATCCATCCATTGTCCCTTTCTATTCAGAAATCTAGCAAAAAGCGTCTCATTTTAGACCTTCGTCACGTTCATCAATTCCTTTCAAGCAAAAGTTTAGGTGTGGAGATTTAAGCGTCGCCAAGGAGGCTCTGTGTCCAGCTGATCACATGCCTTCTTTTGATTTGAAGTCGGGCTATCATCATGTGGACATTTTTCCTGACCACCGTAAATTTACCCTACTGGGTTTTTTTTAATTTACTGTTCTTGTTTTTGGCCTCAGCTCAGCGCATTATCTTTTTACGAAATTGCTCAAGCCTCTGGTTAAGAAATGGAGATCAGAAGCCAAGCGGATTGTTATTTCCTAGACGACGGCGTCGGGTCCTGCCGGCTACAACAATACTAAGATTGCTAGTTTACAAGTTCACGCCGATTCATTCCGTTTAGGTTTTCTTGCGAACAAATCCAAATGCATTTGGGAACCGACCCAGGAATTCCACGTCTTGGAATTCTCACGTTCACCTTTCATATAAGAGTTTGACTGAGTTGATTTTCTGGAGAGCTAACGTGGCAAGCCTCAACGGTATTCCTATTTGCATGGCTTAATAGGACTAAGCCTTCCAAAGATCGTCTACTCGGATACATCCGCTTCAGCCAGTGGTAGTTTCATCGAGTTCAAAGGCAAAATTTTTTATCAGAATTGGTCTGATTTCGAGAAATCTTAAAGCTACTCTTTCAGGGAACCAATTGCTGTTTCTTTATCCATGAAAGCTTTCACTGAGTTTTACAGGCTTAGTCGGTTACTTGGTTCACCGATAATCAGAATGTTGTCCGTATCGTCAACTCCGGTTCCAGAGTTCCTGCATTACAGAATCTAGCTGTGGGCATTTTCCAAACCTGCCTCCTTAACGGTGTAAGCATTGATATGCAGTGGATTCCACGAGATCTAAACAGCGCAGCAGATGATATTAGCAAGTTCATTGATCACCGACCTGGACAACTTGTGGGGTCCTCATACCTGTGATAGAGATAGGTTTGTTTGCCCGTACAACACGAAAGTTCAGTGCTTCAGTGCCAGATTTTATCAACCCGGCTCGAGTGGCGTGAATGCTTTCTCCCAAGATTGGTCTCACCATTAACTGGCTTTGTCCCCCGGTTTATTTGAGGTGCAAAGTTGTCAGGCACATGAAGCTTTTCAGCGCTAAGGGAGCTCTCGTTGTTCCAATCTGGAAGTCGGCCCACTTTTGGCCAGTGCTTTGCTCTGATGGAGTTCACTGGAGTAACTTTATTCATGACTGGGTTATTCTATCCAATTTCCCTAATTTATTTATTGCATGCAAAGCTAAAAACTCTATTTTTGGTTACAAGCCTCTATCGTTTGTTTCAGTTGCCTTGCGTATTGACTTAAGCGCACTATTTTGCGCCAGTTCAGCTAATTTTTCGCCAATTTCGCCTAGCTTCGTTCCCAAAGCTGCCTTAGCGTCTTCCACGGCTTCAGTTACAGCCTTACGGGCTTTAAACTGATCTTCGTTGCTCCTCTTGTTACACTGCAGAACAGGGTCACGCTTTATCCTTTTGATTTCCTGCATCTGCTTCGAAGCCGTAGCTTCGTTGGCACGCTTAAGATCTGAAATGGAATCTGAAATAAGGGCCTTAAATTGATATAAGAGTTCTTTGTTGCTGTTCGCAATCATGCTAGAAAACGTTAGCTTCAACCATGGCCACGGCGAAGAAAAAAACAGAGAAAACTAAACAAAGCAAGATGACGCGGCGAGGCCGACCGTAGCATGACACGCATAACTAACCAGTCACTATTTTAAACCCCCTAACCGTGGTCCCAAGCGCGCTACGCTAAAACCCAGTTCATCGCTCCGTACCGGCAAAATAATAATTTATGTCGATTCTAATTTACACAAATTACATCTCATAATACAGCTCTACTCGATTTCATCGTGCTTTGTCGTCAATTTACGTCGTATTTCCTCCATCGCTTATGGTTTTAAAGAAATTTGGTAGAAGCACAAAAACCGATCCCATAATTATCTCTCGTAATAAATCGAAAAAATGAGTAGGAAAATATTTTTGATTGAGTGTTTCTTGTAACGGGAGCCTTCCTTATCACCTGGTGTCCATTCCATTTTATGAACACGCCATATTTTCGTGACATTTTAAAATTAATACTTATCAAAATTACTCTATATAACTCGAGATGACAACGAAAAAATTTGAGAACCAGACATCGTTCCCTTGTTCTTCGATAAATTTAACACTCAAGCAAGTTTCATTCTTTCAACGATCTCCAAAACTGAGCTGTCGGGAAGTTGATAGCCATTAACACTGTTTTACAACTTAAAAAGCCAGGTGTTTGCACATTTGCGAAGAAAAAACCAAACACAGAACATTAATATACATAAGTTTAAAACCTTTTTGCTCCACAGTATTCAACTTCTTTGATGATCAACCTATCTTAGTAAAAGTTAGAAGAGATTGGAATCTAGTTGAATTAACAAGCGGGTTGTTACCATCATGCACTGTTATTCTTAGTCTTTAAAAATTATTTTCAGAATTGAATACCTTCCTGTTTGTGGAATTAACAATGTCATATTTTTTCCCCTGAAGTCATGGATATTCAATTTGCTCGAGTTAACTATGGTGCGGTCTTTGATGGTAAAATTACAAGTATTATGAATTTGGACCATAAAGATTCGACGACATAATCCTAATTACAATAAAGGTGTTTAAAAAGAAAAAAAATATTAAAAAATAAATGAGTGAAAAAGGTTTTTCAGTAAAAATTTTGTGCCGTTTTCGAAAGCCAAAAACACTTTTCTATTCTTACATCTAGTCTCAAAGTCTGGCCAACGTTAACTTTTTCATCCGTCGGGAAGTTTAAAGTTTCAAGAAGCAGATGGCAAAGTGTTAGGGTTCAACATATACTGCTGCCACAACGTCTGACTCTTTAATTTGAATAAGGAATTGTTTGTGTATGAACCAGGCGTGTGTGTGTTGACTAAGGAAAAAGGATAAAGGAACATAACTTTGAGTTCCGTGTTCCTTTTTATTCATTGTTGCATAACGGAATCATTTTTACCCTACTTCATGGATTTCTCCACTTGGAACGTTTTTTGGTCAGTGACATTTATGTTGATGGCGACGGTGATAACTGCAGGTAATCTCGTTACCATCGTAATATTTATAAAACAGAAATTTCTGGAGCGCACCCGTTTCCTTTTGTTAAGCCTGGCCATGGCGGACACATTCGTGGGAACCTTATCAGTTCCTTTGTACATTGCTGTTGGTATCCGTCCTCAAGACAACTTGTTGGTACTCGTATTTCGATGCGTAGATGTTTTTACAGGAATGGTGTCCATTTTTACCCTTGCTAGCATTTCATTGGAAAGAATGCACGCCATCGTATGGCCCTTCCGCCATCGTGCGCTTAAGTCATGTTTCTACCCGTGTGCTATTGGATTGCCGTGGTTATTTGGCTTGCTGGGAGTTTCATCTCGACTGCTCCATCACTTGAAGGTTATATCCCCGCTGATGCTTTCAGTTACGTCAAACGCATTTCTCTTGACACCTCTACTGTTAATAACCACCTCTTACATTTTGATATGGAGAAAAAAACCTCATGGACCTCAGAACCAAATTCAGGGAGACAATCAAAACAACAAACTGGCTAAAACATTGATTGTTATAACGGCAACGTTCCTCTTAACCTGGTGTCCACATCAGATTATAAACCTGATATTTTCATTTTGCATATCCTGCAGACGGTCGCCGTATGCCCATTTAGTGGTTCACATCATGAAGATATTTCAGTTCAGTAACTCTTTTATCAATGTTATTGTCTACTCCTTGAGGTTTCAGGAATACAGACAGACACTGCTTTCCTGTGCCTCTAGCCTGTGATCCAATTTAGATCCCAAAGAGAGGGAAAGCAAAACTAAACAGATTTTATTGTTCATGCAAATATTGAGTGGTACAATCAATCAAGTCTGGTGTTAGGATGTGACGTCAGAAAGCGTGAAGTATATGGCTAAAGACATAACTCTTTGAGGCTGCCTAAAAATGGTCTGGTACATTTCGGTTCGAAATTGATTTTTTTTTTCATTAACTTTTTAAAATCATGTTGTAAATTATAAAGTAGTGAACAGCACTGAAGGAACTTAAAAGGTAAAAACTTGAGGCGTGAAGCAAGCGAATTGTAGCTTTTTTATTGCAAAGTGCGACAGGCGTTATTACAAAGTGCGCAAGTACTACAAGATGCGACAGTTATCTTAAAAAGTGCGACGATTGTTACAAAGTGCGACAGATCAGACACGCAAACGAAATAGGAGAAAAGAAAATTCTCATTATTACCTTTACAAATATTGTTAATTTTAAATTATACGGATTCGTAGAGAATATAATACAGGTGTATGTATAATGCTATTGTAAACAACGCTGAGGTGAGAAAAAAAGCAGATAAGTAAAGAGATAAGAAAGAAGGATTATTGAAAAAAAAAAGAAAAAAAAAGCGTACATTGTATGATGAAAAAAAAAAATTTCAAGCTGACGATCTCTTTTGTTCTTTTATGCTATCACAAAGGTTGCAAAGTACAATGATCGTCCAAGGGATTCAGTCTGACTTAGCAGATTGAAAAGTGTTCGCTAAATGTAGTGTGTCCGAGCCTGCTGATCATAACTGATGGGCTCAGCCAAATTAAAACTGAACCTCTACTTATATTTCTTGCAGATAAGTAGGTCGTCCAACGCCATCCCTTGCAAAATTAATGTTTTATTGCGCTAAACATGTGGAGGCTTGCTAAAGCGACTTATCAGCCACCACTCATAAAAGTGACACTATGGTGAACTCGTGGATACACCACGATGAATATATTAAGAACGCTAGCCAAGTAAATTCTTAATTTAAGTACGTTCACGTTTTAAAGTATTAATAACACTGATGAAAAGGTACACTTTATATGGAGCGCGCTTCAGAACTGAATTCCAAGCTGTATTTTTAATGAGAACTGGGGATCATTTTACTCCAAGCACAAAGATCTAACACTACCATCATGTCAACTTTTAACACCATTGAGTATAATCTATATGAAGAACATTATCATTAAAGCAAACACTTTTTTTTCAAAAGCAGTTCGTTTTTTATGGAAATAAGGATGTCGAAATATAGCCGCGAAGAAAAAGCGCTCGCCTTGTAAGAAGACATTTATTTTTCATCTGTGAGGAAAAAGTCATCATCGGTATGTGGAATTCAGCATTCTTTCTTTATATTGTAATAAGACCTAGTCAAATTGAAATACTTTATTTGTGAACTTCTTTTTTTTTGGAAGACAAAAACGCAGTAGATTACAAGTCTCGTTCCATTTTTTCTCAAAGCTATCTCAAGCTAAAAGTTTTTTTTTTGTTCCTTTTTACTATCACAACTGTTGCACATTCAAACTTTGGCGAGGTAAACGTCAAATTTTTCACTTTGTGTAGATTAGTTTTTCAGCACCCGTGCTGATGGGCTAATTTTATATCATTTTATGTACCTTTGTATAAAAATTTCTTGGTAATTTCAGGGCCATGTACGATGACTTTGTGTTCAAGCGCTTTCCTTTAGCGAAAGTTATATTCCTACGTGCACCGATGCCAAAATGGTTATTCATGCCAACTGAACATGCGGAAACTTGCTATTTAAGACTTACCAAGCACTTTTTGTTTCAAAATGTTTTTGCTTCAAGTTCTGTGACGGTCAAATTTGCTACGAGTATTGTTTTCATATTTCAGGATCAGAGAGCCTGCTTCATGGATTTCTCCACTCACTGGGACGTTTTCTGGACTACCATTGTAATATTCGTAAAAAGAAACTTCTGAAGCGTGTTCGTTTCTTGATTTAAAGCCTGGCCATTGTGGGCACATTTTTGGGAACTTAATCAGTTTAGTATCCATCCACAGGAAGCTTTGCTGCTACTCGTATTTCAATGCGTAGACGTTTTTACCGGTTTTGTGTCTATAGTTACTCTTGCCAGCATCTTACTCGAGAGAATGTATGTCATTTTATGGTCTCTCCGCCATCGAACACGACGCTACGTTTCTACACTTGCGTGATTGGAATCCCGTGGGTATTTGGTATGCTGGGAGTTTCGTATCGACTTCTTTTTTACCTCCAGCTTATATCCGGGTTGGGCTTCTTAAAGCCAAAGACCGAGAAATGCAAATATTTCTTGTGCGAAGAGTATTAAATAAAGTTTAAACAAAACCTCTGTATTTTAGAGGTGTACATAAATCCTTGATTCATTTGCGACGCAATAAATGTATTTTTATCGGAAATTCTGTTCAATAAGATTATTCGGGGAGAATTTCCATATTGTTGCCTTTGTTGATGCAACATTTGTCCATTAATAATAATGGGCTGATGTTGTCTTAAAACCAAAATTTATCTCGGTCAGGACACAATATCTGTGCAGTGATGAAACGTCTTCCCTTTTAAAATTAGATATGCTAATTCCGATTAATGTTTTTGCCAGACTTGTAAAACAAGGATTTGAATGCATTGCATGCGTGAAGTAAAAATTGGTATAGTTAATGGAGAGCTACAAGACTTTGAATCCCTCGGACGATCATTGTACTTTGCAACCTTTGTGATGGCATAAAAGAACAAAAGAGATCGTCACCTTGAAAATTTTTTTTTCATCATACAATGTACGCTTTTTGAAACTTTCCTTGCGATGTTAGCAATGTGCTTAGTTCCTATGACAAAATTTTTGCCAAGAATGCTTCGTTCTCGGACAACTGTTCGCATCATGGAACAGATAATGTCCGGAGACAATTATCAGTGGATATTTTCGCGCCAAAAAGAAGCTATTGTTATTTAGCTATTCGTAAAGAGTATTCCAGTTTATTCTTATAGCGCTCATAACGATACTCTCTTTAGGGGGTGCGGGTTATTAAGAAAACATTTTTATAGTACTTTCTTTTTTCGAATTGATTTTGAAAGTGCTTCAGCTGAATTAAAACTGCATTTTGATATCATGTATTCACGTGCGTACACAGAGATTCACACCATAGTAGCTCCTTAGGAATTACATAGGACTCACTAGCGCCTTCTTTATCACTTGGTGTCCACTGACTCGATGTAACGAACATCGCCTTTGTAGTCTTTTCGAGACATTTAATTAGTGTGTTAGATACCCTTCAACTTGTAATGGCGACATGGACAAATACAGATGATGTCGTTCTCTTTTCTAGTCCATCAATAAACTTGATGGTATGGCAGGTTTCACTGCCTCAATCATCTCTAACACTGAGTCGTCTGAGCATAAGAGGGCAGATGTTTGTAAATTGAAAAAAGACAAAACAAAACAAAACAAAACACGAAAAACGATCGAACCGGACATAACAAATAAATACACATAAATTGGCAACTTTCTTCTTTCACTCCATTGTATTTGACTCCTTTCCCGACCGAACTTTGTGTGTAAAGGTTACAAGGAGATCAGGACCTTGTTGAATTAATAAACGGGGATACACTTGTCGCCATTATGCACTGTATTGCTTAGTTTTCTCAGTCTTCGAAGTTTGTGACATTGTCAAAATTGAACACCTTCTTTGTGAGGAAGTAATCGAGTCATATTTTTCCCCTGATGTCATAGAAATTTATTTTTCTCGAGTTAATTAAAACGAAGTCTGAAATAACACTTAAAAAAATTTCAAGTATTATGGATTTGGATCATGCGGATCCAATGAGATAATCCTAATTTAAATAATTTGGTATAAACAAAATATAGAGCCAAAACACTTTTCTATTTCTATATTTAATCAAAAACATTTTTTAACGTTTCAGTTGGCCCTCGGGATCTTTAAAGCAGACGGCAAATTGTCCACCACTCTTTTTTTATATAGTGTTTCCACACCCGCGTGGATGAGCTCATCCATAATTATTACCATGAATAGAAAGCTGGTTTTCTTATTTGAAGGCTTTGAATAACGATTTGGTCCTAAAAGCTTTCACGCCTTCACGCTTTCAAGCTCAGGTTTGAACGTGCGCAACTGCCGAGATGTCATACTAGGTGAAGAAGGAATTGGGTATTTATGTGCTGAACACGTGTATGTTGTCTATCTGACGGACTTACAAGGGAGCATCAGCTTAAGTTCCATGCAAAAATTTATATTTGTGTTCACATGCAAAGATCTATGAGCCTGCTTGATGGATTTCTCCTCTGATTGGAACATTTTCTGGACTGTTACATTTACATTGATCGCTACAGTAGTAACCGCCGGTAACCTCTTAACCATTTCAGTATTCCTAAGACGGAAACTTCTGAACCGCGCTCGTTACCTTTTATTAAGCCTAGCCATCGCGGACACATGCGTGGGAGCGGTATCCGCTCCTCTGTACATTGCTGTTGGTATCCATCCACAAGAGGAATTGCTGGTACTCTTGTTTCAATGCGTAGATATGTTTACAGGAATGGTGTCTATTTTCACCCTTGCTAGCATTTCAGTAGAAAGACTCCACGCCGTGTTATGGCCCTTTCGCCACTGTTTGTTGACATCACGTTTCTACATATGCGTTGTTGGAATACCGTGGGTATTTGGTTTGATAGGAGTTTCATCTCGACTTCTCTATCACTTCCGGGTTATATCCTCCTCGGAATTCCTAATTCTGACGAACACATTTCTCCTGACTCCCCTTTTGATAACAACCACCGCTTACGTTTTATTATGGAGAAAACTGCCTCATCGACCTCAGAACGAATACCAGGCCGACAATCATGACAAGAAATTGGCGAAAACATTGTTCATTTTAACAGCAGCTTCCCTCATAACCTGGAGTCCGCACCAAGTCTTGATCATTGTATCGGCATTTTGCAAGTCTTGCAGATCTTGGCCCTACAAAGTGGTTCATATCGTTAAGATATTACAGTTTATTAACTCATTTACAAATGTTATCATCTACTCCTTGAGGATTTCGGAATATAGACAGGCAGTTCTTCCTTGCACCCTCTAAGCCGAGGAAATCGATGTCTTATTCGTGAATAAAGCAGCGAGTGATCCCAGACAGGAGATAACGAGCGGGGGTGGTCGATGAGTGTCTAAAGAATACTAAATTGAAAGAATAGTACATTTGTTACGCTTGAAAAAGTTGTGGTGTAAGAATTAAGACTTGGTTGATTATTTCAGCTTAAATTTAACTTTAAGAGAATATGCATTTGAAGGAAGAATAATGATGGTGAACTATAAACATTGAAGGGGACTTATAAAAGGGTTTTCCGAAAACATTTTGTAGACAACAGATGTTAATAGTTCTTTAAACAAAGAATTGTTTTGGTCATGTTTCGCATTACTAAGAGCCGCTCTCGCTAAGAGCGGTCTTCTAGACTTCTGTCATAAAAATAGTTTTTCATTTTTGCCCACGAAAAGGGGTTAGGACACATGTTTCAAAAATAGTTTAGTTGTTCTCCGATTCCCTGTTTTTTTTGCGTCTCCACGCACATGTACAAGCCAAAAATCATTTTCGGCTAGACCACCCGTGTGGACAGCGATCGAAAGTGTAAACTTTACATTTTTTTCCACAGGTTTTCATAACAAGTGGATGGAGAATAGATGCCGAGTTGCACTAAAACGTTGTGTAAAAGTGATCGGTCGTAACGCTTGCGCGCTTACGTGCTTACAAAGTAAACAAAGGCGATCGATAATTTTCGTTGAAATATCAGGTCATGAACTACACACAGTGTGAAGAAGACCAAAATTAAAGAGTAAAATTTGGTACTCGGGTCACTACAGACACATCGCGTTGCTCAAAAGGCCACATAAACAAGTTAAAATATACGTTACCGTTTTATTCACAAAATAACACGCGTAAACTCTGAAAGAATTCTTGCATTTTCTCCCAAGATTAGCACACGGAACGCAGTGAATTAGCCCTCCTTTATACGAATTTTTTTTCATCATTAATGATTTTACGCTGTTATGGCGACAAACTCAACATTTCCCTGCGATCAACAAACTCAACCGGACAAACCCAGCTAGATGTATTGCGTGACGTAGTTATGCTATTTTTCCCATGTTATACACCAAAATTAGTCAACGAACGAATTATAATCGAAAGTTGAAATGAACTGAAGAATTTTGCATTTTACTGAGAATTTTATCTTTTGAAATGTTTACATTATTTGTGAAAAGCAAAGATTGTAGTGGCTGCGAGTATTTCAGCCCTGATTTGTGTCGTAGAATGCCAGGACGACGTATCGAGTCATTTGAAGTACTACCATCTATCCAGCGAAATCCTGAAGTTCAAGTTTATTTTGTTTCGTTCCTATCATTTGAGCCTCGAAACTCGGCATCTATTCTCCATTCAGTTGTTATAAAAACCTAAAATCCACAACGTAGAAGATAAACAAACGAAGTTTGAACGGTCAAAAGGAGATCTCCAATTTTCAGAGTTATGCAAATGTCCTTGACACAGCGTAATTTAGCAAACACGTGGATTTGCGTTGTTTTTAACTCGTGGATACGCGATAGCGTTGAAACGAGTTGTTGTGGGCACTTTTGGATATGCAAATTGGCGTGAACTCTTCATAATTGGTCGTTATAAGTCGGCTCCAAACTCGAGATCTATCCTTCCGAAGAAGTCCGAAGTCCTGGCGCTATTGTGATTGCATCGATCGTTGGGATGTTTATTGTCTTTCCACGGCTGTTTCGACATTTCCTTAATTTAAATGGACTTCGAATGTTTCAGATTAGTGTTATGATCAACTTAAAGGCCAAATTTGAAGGGTCTTTTAATCGTCCATGCGCTGAACATAACGAGCAGCAGCGAGAATCACGAAGAGTTTGTGAGTAACAGAGCAAGCTGTTGACATGGAAATTTCCACGGAAACATGTACCCATAAGATTAAAGAAATGTCAATTCACAGCATTATTTCTTTCGTTTCAGAGTTTTTTTTCCGACGTTTCGGCAGCTACGCCAATTTCGGTCTTCTCGTTATGGTCATTTCATCTTGTTACTTTGCTATGCAAACGTGACTGTTTTGATGGTAAGAATGAAATATCATCGGTTTCTACAGGTCGTTTCCGCGCACGTGACCATAATCTGGCCGGTGTTGTTTTGATCACTAGATGATCTTTTTCGCTTAAAACACACGACGACTTCCTATTTCAAGGAATGCTTTTCCAATTAGTTTCTATCGCATCCGTGTAAAAAAATACAAGCATATCAGTGTATTAAAAAACAAAAGGGAAATTCAAAAGTACGGCTAACACAACATAGGCCAAAATACGGCAGAGGTTCTGAGGAGCCGGCTGCACATACCCAGCAAAAGATGACCCATATACTCCACCTGAGGGGGTTCCATCACATACTCAAGTACTATAATTTCTTTAATTTACTTGCAATGGTTCTATTTTCTTTCGTAACACCTTAGTTTACTGTCAAAAAATTTTACGGGTATGTATCTCGTTAATTCTTTGTCTACGATTCGGCCAGGGGGCCCTGTAATTAGGATGTTGGTGGATGAAAGTTAGAGATATACCTGCGGGTTTGAGGCAATCGGTGACCTCATTGGTGGTTAAACTATGCACTGATATGTTTTTTAGCCTGATTAACGCCTACACTTTAATAATTCTTTCAATTCAAAGCCATCGAATTGTCGTTGTCTTTGCTACTTCTCAACTTTCGGCATTTTAGTTCATTCTTTTTGTGTTTTCTCCTCCTATTCTTTACCAGTAGTTTGCTTTGCTTAAAGTTAACAGTAGTATAAAGACCTGTATGGGAAACAAAACGCTTTGAATGTCACCATCCTTTACTCGAATTGAAACTGTGATAATTAGATATTGCATTAACAAATAGCGCTCGATCAGTTTCTTTTTTAATTGAAGGATACCCGTTACGAGAACAATTTTATTGTCAATGTATGGAACTCCGCATATTTGCCGATAATTGTACCTCGCAAATTTAAAATATTTGATCGGCGAAGTATTTTATGGCAGTCAAAATAACGCAATATTAGGTTTGCACAATGTTTTTTCTTTAAGCTTTCTTAAACGAAAGTTTTCTTTTGCTCTTATTACTATCAAAAAAACTGCTCTTTCACTTCCGCTTTATATCCCCGTTGGTCTTCTTAATGATGATAAACACATTGTCTTCATCCCCCTTCTAATAATAATCATCACTTATGTCCTCATATGGAGAAAACAACATGACAGACTTCCGATCGAAGAACAGGAAGACGATCCGAACAAGATATTAGTAAAGTCACTGTTTATAATAACGGGAACGTTCCTTCCAACTTGGGGTCCTCATCAGGCTATAAACATTATAATTTCATTCTGCGGGACTCGATCTTGGCCCTACCTAGTATTTTATATCATGAAGATAATGCAGTTCATTAACTCTTTAATGAATGTCGACGTCGTTGTCTATTCCTTACGGATTCCGGAATACAGAGAGGCACTTTTTTTTCTTAATTCTTATAAGCCGGTCTCCAGAGAGAGAGAGCTTGTTTGAAGCCAAGAGTGGGTATTAATAAAATCAAAAATACATCTAAATGTCATTAATCTAACTGAAAATTGTACTCTCAGTTAAGGTAACAGGTTGTTCTTCATAATCATTAATGATGAATTCGTCACTGCATGTTTTGGAGATTCTCAATTAAGACTGAAGTGGCTCTTTATAAATCAGGTAAATTAAAAATGAAGTTTCGAATTTTCGGTACCTTTTTGCCTCATCTCGCACTGTTTCCTAGAGCCACAATATTTAATTCGCGGTGTTAACTATGTTTTTTATTCTTCGGTGTAGTTCAAGAGTGGATGGAATTTTATCAAATCATCTTTTGCCCTCACTTTGTAGTTTATGTTAGTTAATCAATATGTCACTGATACTTACTTAAGTTAACGGTAAAATAATATTTAAAACAAAACCTCAGTTAAACCTCCTCTGCATTAAAGTGGCATAGATTTGTTTGTTTCGCGAAGCAAAACATGCATTTTCTCAAATTGTAGTATACATTTCAAAAATGATAAAAGTGATAGAATCCTGTTTAACTCACTTGCTCAAAAGTTAAACGGTAATGTTTTGCGATCAAACAGGAACATGCGCTTCTGAAAGGGAAGGAACTAAGTGCAGGCAGAGGATCAAACCAAAAAAAATTGGCAAAAAAAAATCATTAAAATTAATGAGGACTACTTTATATCACTTAGTTCATTTGGTGTTCGCACCAGATTCTGAACATTATATTTGTATTTTGCATGTCTTCTTGGAGGTGGCTTTCGTTAGCGTCTAATGTCATGAAGTTGTCTCAGTTTGGTAACTCATTCGTCAATGTTTTCCCTTGAGGATTCCGTGATACAAGCAGGTGCTTTTTCTAGTTATTTTGTCTTCACTCATTCTCTTGTTTAAAAAAAATTGAACTCTCATAATAGGAAAACCGAGCTATACGAATATAGAAAAAGGAAATAGGCAAACAAATAAACAAACGCACAAGCAAAAAAACAAATGTGTACGAATGCCTCGTGCACTTAAAAAACCGCTGTGTCAGACAGTACCTTTACCATTTTTTAATCTAATGAGTCAGAAGGAAAAGATATAAAGCAGAATTAACAACGTAGTTGTAATGTATTCTTTAAAAGAGTGTGTGTCTGATCCATCATTTAGCGTTGTAAATTGCACTTGCGTTGCTGCTTCTCCTCGTTCTAGTTTTAGGTGTCAAGTTTTAATTAATTTTAAACAGTTGTACTTAATGAGATATGCTTTTTCATCTTTAGGTGAAAGAACTGCTGGTGTAGTTTGCTAGAAGCTATTCCCAATGACGAGGCGCTTTCCATTTCTCGAGCCCAATTCCGTTTATTTGCATTCGCAGCTGCTTCATTCATTCAGCTGCTTCATTCAGATTCATGTTTTTTTTTTCTTTTGGAAAATAGGATCATAAGCCAAGTGTAAGACTGGTGGGAAAACATTCATGATCCTTATAACCAAGTATTTCTTTTTTCACTCAGAAAGCCCCTCAAAAT